TTACCTCTGAGACCTACTGAAACACCCAGCTCTTCTCGTACCAGCCTCCTTAGGCGACCTGATTTACGGCGTGCATCTGGAACATTATCTCTGCCTCAAAATGATTAAACAAGAAACCAGTTGGTATTTAAAACAAATTTGCACAAAATCTGTTGCTTAATATTAACTATAAGTTTGGATCTAAAACTAACCAATTAAAAACATGCTTTTTAATGCTTAAAGAAATATATTAATATTTTTGATTATATGTTGTAACGGACTTCTATAGTTTTTAATGTTTGCCTGAACTATTCAACCCTGAGTAAAGAATTTATTGCCCTGATAGCCAATACACTCCCTGTCTGAAATGCTCCTCAGGGAGTATAAGACTGCTTTCTGATTAGAAATTTATGTAAGTTCAGAGAGTCACCAGTTGTCTTAGTTTGGATTTGTATCTGAGTTTATCTTAACGTAAAAGTTAGCTTGTGTACTATTGTGCTCCTTTTAAAATTCTATTTCAACATTCCCCCTTTTGATCTCCTTAAAAAAGAGATCACCTAAAGTACTTGACCATATTTACCTGGGAGCAAACACATAAGGATTTAACAGAAAGATTAACATTCCCCCTTTCAGACATTACCTAACATCTCCGTCTCTCCACCTCTTGCTAAACACCTTTCTAGAAGAATAAGACTGGTCTCCCCCAGTCACATCAAAAAGAAGAAAAACTTACATCACATAACGTCAATACAAAATCTCAAAAATATAAAACTTCCTGTCATCTAAAAGCAGTAAAAAAACATCCAATCATACACAACAAATAACCATACATTAAAATATCACCGTAGAATAACAACAGTAAAAACACAACAATGCTGTGAAGAGAAAAATAACACAGGTACATACAGTCACAAACTTATATTAAAAAATAATGTCTTTACTTCAATATGTTGATAATCGCCTGCTAGCTGCTGCTGCACATTTGGCTATACCTAATTATAATTTGCCGTTTAATTTGGATTTGAATTTTAATTCCTCTCATCCGTTTACAATTTTTCATTAATCCACCAAGTGGCACCATGGAGTTCTAAAAAGCTGTCTTATGATGCTGTGAAAAAATGTTTTCGCTCTCACAAATTTCTTCTAATTTCTGATCTGCAAACATGTTTTATGTCAGACAAAGATTATCTGAGTACAAACAAGTACGTTTTAAACCTTTGTCTCAATAACTGACATCAAGCATTTGTCTAAAGTCGCAAAAAGTTTCTTAAATCTATGGTGAGGGATTTTTTTTCTTCAAAGAGGTGAATTATTTCAGCCACACTGGATGGGTTTCAAGCATAAAACAAAATGGATTTATTCACTACAAATCAAACAAAAAATTGTATTTATTCCGCTTTATTCAAAATAGTTTGTTTTGGAGATGTACCAAACCGATATTTACATCTGTATTGGCCCCAATACTGAGAAAAAAATCCTAATCCATAAACGCAGATCTTTTCAGACTAATTCTATAATCGTTCTTTATTTGTTTTACATCATATTTAAAATAATTAGACTTTCTGAACCATTTCAGAGAAGTTTTGTTGCATTTTATTTTGAAATTGTTTGTTTCAGTTTCCTGATCTTTAGAGAAAAAAGACAACTTCTACATTAAAAAAAGAAATTCTACTTATGATTGGAAAGTAAATCAATAGCAATATCAATAGATCAGGATGCCCAACATTTATTACATTTTCATCAGTGTGGTTCTTTCACACTGTGTCAAAATAAAAGCAGATGAGTAGTTAGTGTAGATATATCGCTTGCAAAATATTGTAAATATTTAATAAATGTCAATTTATTGCATGTAAATATTTATAATGTGACGTGAGCTCAGAGTGCGAAGCTACAATTAGCTTACCATAAGATTGTGTTCAAAAATATCAGTGGATAAATGGCTTAAGGCTGTTAATGCCACAGCAGGTATGGAAAACCACAAATGCAATAATTAAATCATATAGAAATCTATTGTTGAATAAATAAAATATTACTTATTTTTAAAATATTTAGTCATTATTTCAGCTTGAGTCTTGCAGAACTGATATCGTTTCCATAGCGATGACCAGAGGCAATACCTTGCCCTTGAAGTCCAGTGAGGTCACTGATGAGGTCATCAATGACAAAGAAATTCTACAGTAGGAATCTCAGTGCTTCAGTCAGGATTCAGACAGCTTTCAGAGAAGATTTGCGAACAACGATGTCTTGTTTGAGCGCACTTGTGCCTTTCTTGATACCACTGGGTTGGGGCGTAGGATACGCCGTTTGCACCGCCATGAATAATTTATTTGATTATCGCCTTCCTGAGGAGGACGAAGGAGGTTGTCAGGACTTGCCGGATTCTAAGGACTCACAGGACTTTGAGGATTTTGAGGAGGAACAAACCAACCCGGCTGGGGAGGTTTGTTCCAAACCAACGGACATCTTAGGGACTGTAGAATTAGACCCGATCGTGACCCTACCAGAGAGTACCGCAAAAAACGGTACTGTCTCCAGACAAACTGACCCGGCTGGGCAGGATTGTCATGAACCGACGGCTCCGTGTGCTGTTTGCGAGACAGCAGACGGAGACCTGACGACACGAGACAGTACTGAGTCTGACGGTACTAACTTTGAGCAAACCGACCCGGCGGGGGAGGTTTGCTCAAAGTTGACGGAAGACCTTGTGTGCCAGAGACAAGCCGCAGAAGCATCTGCCCCGGCTGGGGAAGATGTATCTGCGGCCGACATTGCAGCCCAGGTTTTTGCTGAATTCACAGCAGATGCCTTGGCTTCAGTGGTCCCAGCTCTTAGTTCATCACCGAGGTCTCTGAAAGGCACCGCTACCAGAGTCTTTGAGGTACCAAAGAGGTCTTTCAAAGGTAGGGTCATGATTTCTTTCGAAATTAACAGTTTACCGGACGAGGATCATAATTCATAAGAGAGGGTCGGGTTAGACATGATAGATTGAGGGAAGTGGATGATTTTTAAGGATATTGTTGGGTGTGTTGGAGGAATTGGGCCACACACACCAAATATTGGACCACATTCCTGTCGGGGGGTGGACAAGGATCGATTTCAGTGAGTTTGGTGCAGCGCGGTCAAAACATGAGTGATAGGTTTAAATTAATAACTTGCATTAACACTAATCATTGTCCTTATGAACAGTTAGACTGTTTAGTTGTTCTAGAATGTGTGATGTTTCTGGAGGAGCAGGAAGCGTGACAAATTGTAAACATATGCCAGCCGTCAGAGAACTGACCTGGCAGGAGTACCTCAAAGGCTAGGTTAAAGTTTAAGACAAAAAGTCCATCTTTTTTGATAATTTTTAACACCCCATGCCTTAAATCCCTAGGAGGACTTTGTTAAACTTTGACACGAGTAAAAGTTAAAATCAGGTAAAATTTGACATTTGACCCAAAATGGCCGCCTCCCTGTGCATCTTAGGGGGTACTGTCAACAGACTTTTTTTCTAAATGGGGGTGGAGGGATCTGCCTACGTATAGAGTTTCAGATTTCTACGACCTGCAGTTCTTCTAAACTCGCGATAGGTGGCACTGTAGAGCAGATTGGCCACGTCCGCTTGCGACTCCATCCTAACATTTTCCTGAGGGGGGATTTTGGGTCAAATTTGGTGAGGTTTTGCATGTGATAAAGTGGAAGGCATTGGTTGTTTTGACGTTGGTCGTGGCCGAGTTTCTGAGAGAGTGAGGTTACCTGTAAAGGATCAATACCTAATATTGTCAGTTTTCTTACAGTTCTTCTGTTTTCTCAGATTTGTTAGCGGTTGTTATTAGTTTAGAGTGTCCCAGTTTTGTTGTCTGTTTTCTTAATTAGTTTTGCATTTAAGAATTTTTAGCTTGCTTTTTTAACAAAGCCAGCCTTTCATCGTGTTGTGTAAAAATGCCCACAGGCCTTCATAGAAAAAAAATGGGGCCCTGTCAATTACAAAATTAATTATATTAAGGAAAAGGAGTCAATTTGTAATCCAGTTTTTCTCCAAGAGAGGTGGGTAAGATTATCAATTAGCATTGTTAGCTTAGCTACAGACTGCCTCCATTTCACCAGCGTCTAATTAATTAAGGAAAATCACCAAGATATTAATATATTAACTTGTCTCCTATACCTTTTACCACGTAACAACCGGTGTGTTAGTCAGCAGCAGCTCTTGTCCTTCCTGACTGAAATTATAGCTGCAGAATGTAACTTTTAAATATATATTTTGAGAAATAATGGTTCCTCAACCATTATTTCTCAATGGTTGAGAAATAACATTGACGGATATATATATATACATACATATATGTATACATATATATACATACATATATATATAGACGCTGGCATATACCGTACTTTCCGGACTATTAGCCGCACCTGAATATAAGCCGCAGAAGCTAAATTGCATGATTTGTACATATACAAGCCGCACCGGACTATAAGCCGCAGGTTTTTTATGTTTACGTACCGTAAAAACCAAATCTGTTTATGGAAAAAAACATAGCTTATTTGCATAATTGTGCTCACATTTATTCCACCAAGACAAACATCTTAGACTGTCTTTTCTCAGATGTGTGTTGCAGCTCAAACCACAGTTTGCAAAAATTGTTATAAATGGTTGAAAATATCTCATTGTGTAAAAGCATCAATCAGGAGAAGGTTACAAAAGAAATAACAGCATTTCACTGTATGTATTCTGCAAAGGTGAGAACTGTGATCAGTAAAAGAACGATGTCGATGATGCTGACATAAAAACTGGCACAGATAAAAGATAAAAACTTTTTGCCTGATCTTCCATTCGTCCAACAGGAAGACTGAAGAAGCTGTAGAACTTTTTGGCAAGCACTGGTTGTCTTCCTTTTAGAGAAAATGTTTATTTTTGCTTTATTTCACCCTAATCAGTCTAAATTTTTATATCACAAGAACCTGCCATGTTTAGAGGGGTTTTGTGATTTCACTTTTTGTGAAGTCTAATAGTTTCTTTTACACTTTTACTCAACCAGGCTGCCTCTGGTGGGGTCATCAGAGGAGCGGGTAAACAGAGAGTTGGGGCTATTTGCTATTTCTTGGGATTTTATGGCATCGGATTTCCTATTGGAATCCCTCTGATGTTTGCTGCCAAACAAGGAATAAAAGGTGAGATTTAAAGTTCAAAAGTATCTCAAAACAATTAAATTCTAAGTCTTTGTTTGGATTTTAAAATTGATCTGACATGATGTATCATGTCTTTCTTCCCAGGTCTATGGACTGGCCTGTTTACCTGTGTAACTCTGCAATCCACATTCCTCATTTTCTATCTGCTCAGGATGAACTGGCAGACAGCCACAACAGAGGTTTGCGTTTCAAGTTAAATGCTGCTTATTCTAATACACCAAAGATTTTTTTTTTCTTCAATAACAGATTTAAACATGATTTTATCTTTCAGGCTCGGATCAGAGCAGGTGTGATTGGCTGTTCTTCAGACACAAGTAAGAAAGAGATGCTTTTCTACTTTTCTCCATTCATGTGGAGGATTTTTATCAATAATGAGACCGTCAACATGATGCAGTCATGAATAACATATACATTTATTAACCAAAGACAGCAGATTGTTTGTCATTAACAGTAACCTACAACAGCCCAAAGAAGGTTGTAGAGTCAGTGTCTTCCCTATAGCCTTAATCCAAAATCACCAGACCCCAGCAACAAAGAAATGGGGGAAAAAACTTAAACAAGACCAACAATCAGTATTGTCAGGAAGCTTGAAAAGAAGAGAGCAATAGTTCTGCTTTTTCTTTGGTTTTGATCATAAGGTCAGACCAGGGTCACTCAAAAGAGAAAACAGACAATGTGATAGGTGATCACCATCAGAGGGAAATGATGGAGCCTTGTTTACCTTGGGAAATGATTATTCATTGGCTATCATTGGGTAAAACCAAGAGAGAGGGAAACGAGTTATATTGCAAGTTAAAATGTAAGTTTTAGTCACAGGAAAGTTGTCAGACGTTTCACGGGCATCGTCTCAGTAACGGTTTAGTTCATATAAATGTCTCATTTTCTGAGAATGTTATGATTTTCAGTTAAAGATTAAAAGACGACACATAATGTGCCATAAAACTTTCACTTCCCTAATGTTTAACACAGTTAAGCATTTTGCTAAGTCATTCTAATAGTAGCCTATAAAGCCAGACATCCCTGAAGACACTCTCCAGGGGTCCAATATTCTTCCAGTCTAGAACGATTGTAAAAGTGTAAGAGGGGTAAAATTTAGTAGATAAGCCAGGTTTTCAGAAGTAATTCCTAATATCTGGGAAGTAACCTCTAAGTTCAGAAACTATAAGTACAGCAAAGTAAGCTCCAAGTTCAACAAGTAGAATTAATGTTCCAGAAAGAAAACACTTTAAATTCTGGGAAAGTACAAACTGCTATGTGTATAACCATCAATGCTTACTGTACAAACTTTTGCAACAAGGCAGCCAGAAGCTACTTTCCGCAGTTGACTTTCACAAAATAAGCAGCAGTTCTTCCTATGGTAAAAATGGTAAAAGTCCAGAGGACCCCAAATCTTCACAGGACATTCAGCCATTCACCCAGCTGTCACCACATGTATCTCATAGCAAATCAAAAGAACTGTTCTTCCCCTCAGCTCCTTCTCAAGCATGTTGATGAACAGTGTAAACGAGTTCAAACCCAATGGTTTGACTCTAACCTGGGGGGGAAACTATTTTGCTTTTTCTACATGTAAGTTTCCACAACCATTGGAATCACGTTGTCCAGGTCTCAGGTGACGCTTAACAGATTTTAGTCCTCATTAGCTGGTCCCTTCTGTTTTAATAAAGCTTCAGACAAGCAAACAGTTTCACATCATATTCCAAAAGAGTCTAAATGTCTGCCTTCCACATGTGTATGAACAGGTCCCCAATCAGAAGACACAGAGCATTCGATAAGCGTGACAGACACCATGGATCTGGTTGCCACAGAAGAGGTTTCTCTGGAAGTCCAGCCCTCCTTCAGGAGCCTGGTTCTGCGAAGAGGTTTAGCTCTGGCTGGCATGCTATTGATCCTGGCTACTGGAATCATCATAAACCTGCTAGTCACGAACTTGGTTACTTGACTATGAGTAGTCATCGCAGTGAGTGAGAAAAGTTCTTTGACTCGACCGCAAAGCAAAACATAGATGCAGCGGACAGGGGAAAGACGAAAGATGCTCAGCAGGAAGCAAAGGGAAAACGGAAAGAGCAAAAGTAGCATGAATATGATTTTAAAGCGAGATTGTTCTCTGGAAGAGTAATCTCTAATTAGTATCTGGATCGTTACAGTCACGTATTGCCATCACTTTGACTGTCCATTAGGGACCAGCACAGTGGAGTAAATTGGATCAGGAGGTTGGGTTGCATTGATCCGACCTGCCGCGGTGCCGTTGCCCTCTGCAGACCGGAACTCTGGCAAAGGAACAAGGAAGTGCACGACCGCTCCGACAGCTAGCAGAGCCACCGCAGCTAACACGGCGAGGCCTCTGCGGATGATCAGCTGAGTGGTGGAGAGGCGGCAGTCTGTCTGTCCGACCTCACGGCCATCTGGCCTTTCAGCATGGCCATCCTGATCCTCTGTACTGATACATATGTATCCATCTGTTGACTGTGAAAAAGAATATCATCACACATCTGTTCATTTTCTTCTGCTAAAGACCAAAATATGGATGTTAATTCATGCAACAAAATTAAACTGATGATGAAAATGTTTTAAATCTCAGTGTACTTACTTTTTCATTGTAGGCCGTCTGACCTGCAGCAGTTCCCTCAGTGTCCGTGAGCCCAGAGGGGCTTATTAATGTCATGTTGGTGGTTTTCTGAGCTCGTTTCACAGCCTTTAAGGGAAGTACAGAACGTCAGAAAGTTTCTACTCAAGCACAAAGGATCACATTCTCTCTGAGGATTTATGTGACCCTTGAAAGATTATTTTCACCCCGTGAACTTTGTTTTACATTTTATCACTGCAACCACAAACATCCACATCCTTTATTGGGAAGTAGGAACAGAAACATGCTACACTCAGAAGTGATCATGGTTTTTCTGTTTTGGGGGGATTTGTTTGTACAAATGTAAAAACATGAAAAGAGTAGCAGGTATTTCTAGAGAGCATGCCTGAGTCAAAACATTGTACACCACCCCATTACTGCTATTGCATGTGCTTTGTTTGTCTCTGAGTGAGGCTCTACTTGGAGATTGAACATTTCTGCAAAGAGTTCTGCTCCAGTGGATGGAAAGCCTTCGTGAAAACATATTTCCAAAACTTTGTCACCATTTCCAAATTTGATTTAGGTTTGGACTCTTAACAGAAGCATTCATATGAACTATTTTCTGCTGTGACTGCAGTTTATTTAGCCTCCTGTAAAAACAAAGCAGAACTCCTTGGATTTTGCAGTAGAGCATCTTCACATTCATTTTCTAAAAATCCATACTTTAAAATAATTCAATACTTCCTGTTTTCCAGTCTCAACATAGTTTAAAGTACTAAAAATCTATCCATTTGTCTCTGGCGTAGGTTTGGTGAAGTCGATTAAATGTTTGCTGTTGCTGTCATTAGCTCATGTTCCTAATATTCTCAGGATATTGGTCAATTCACCTTAACATGCGCTCTTCCCAGCTGTTGATTTTGCCACCAACAACAGTTGAACTTCAATAAAGCACTTTAAAATTTGTAGGTGCAATGTGACACGATGTGCTGTTTACCATACCTCCTCTGTCACTTTCTCCCAGTTCAGTCTGAAGATAACTATGATGTAGAAAGTTGATTGCAAAATGACACAAACCAGCAGTCCCAGCCAAAAACCTGTGCGGTAAAAAGAACCACGTGGGTAAGTTCAAAATGGCTTTTTTTCTCATAAAAAAAAAAAAAAAAAAAAAATCTACAAAGAAGTACCAGAGTTTAAATACCTAAAACTCTCAGTTTTGCAACAAACATGAAAGTGACACTCAGTGTGAGGCCTATGCAGTAGTATCCCACAAAGTTAGCCACAGCAGGTATCTTCTGCTTGCCTGTGCCCAAGAAGATGCCAGTGCAAACCCCCTGCAGGCATGAAACGTATGTCAGCCTGCATGCAGCTTTACTTTCTGACAGTCTCAGGCTGGACATTCCTGAAGCAAATGCTTAAGAGTATAAATGAAAAGCAGCGTTAAGACTCACCACAAGTCCATCAAAGAACTGAAGGAAACAGTAGGCGCTCATCAAATGAGAGACCAGACCTATGATCTTCCTGAAAGCAAGATTGAGCCATGTGAGTAAATAGTGTTTTAAACTGAGTATTACTTACTGAAAAGTAAGTAGACCTGAGTGAAGGCGTGAAGTTTGACACAGAATTGGTCATGCTGAAGAAAATTCTTCGTTTGCGCCGCTGTCATTTTAAAGATATTCATAAACCTTTCCAGAGGTTGTCACCGCATTTAATGACATATTTATTAGTGGTCCTCAAAGGTTTTAGCACTATTAATTGATATCAATTTTGTTTGAATTTATTTATTTTTTTTATCTTAAAAATTATAAAGCCACAAATGATTTTTGCTGTGCAAATATAGCACAGTAGCTTGCCTTGACCCTGTTTCATTTGATTTTGTAAATGTGCGGGGGAGGCCGGTTGACCTTTGATGACCTCTGGAAACATTTGTCACCATCTCTCTAAGTCGACGGCGACACAAACAAAAAATTATGAAACGAAATTTGGTGTCGTTAGGTCACCAAATTTGACGAATAAGTCCAGCTTCACTTAACGAGCTTCAACATCTGGAGGAGTTACTCGAGCTGACAGACTCACTCGTCGGACGTGAAGATGAAGCCGATCACCGTCTTGGAGGAGCCCAGCACGACTCCTTCCACAACCGCAAAGGTAGCTGCACAACAAGAGTTGAGGAATCTCACAAGCGACACCCGCGAGAGATGGAAAAATCTGTGCTGGAGACGTTTTTACTGACCTGCAAGACAGAGGGACACCTTGCTGGTCAGAAGGGCCCTGGCCTGGTCCCCTGCGCCCAGAGCGTTCCCCACTCTAGCACACGTCGCTGCTTGAAGACCGAGTGGAAACTGTGTGTTCAGGAATTCCAACATAAAGTGTGGAAAAGAGTTTGAGTTGGTAACTGTTGGAAAATGAGTCTGCACTGCTCTGAGGTCCAGTCGGTCCTACCATGTAGGTGATGAAAGCGATCATTATCACAGCGTGCTGAGCTGCCAGCTCGTCCTCACTCAACATTCCTGATCGTTACAAACAAACAGCAATGTTCTATGTCTTTTTTAAAATCATTATTATTATATATGATGTGTTTATCTATATTACCTGCAAAGAAGCCACCAAGTTCATAAACCCACCACTCAAAACACTTCATTAAGGTACTGGGAAGGGCCAGTTTCATGTAGGAGCCCCAGTTCTGTAGTGATTCCACAGACCAGCCTGCAGGGGGCGACACAAACCCATTTATGTCTTTGAAACATTTGTTTAAAATCTCCAAACATTTCCACCACTGTTGGTGACACTGTCTCTCACCGTCCCATGTTTTTACATGCAGCCTCTTCCACCGGATATAAGCGAACAGAAAAGAACAGATGTATATCTGAGACAGAGTGTTTGCCGCAGCAGAGCCACTGCAACACACACACACACACACCAGCAGTGAGATGATGAAAGGGAGCGTTCTCGTTCTGTTTACATTTGTCTGGAAGTGAGTGTGCATGCTGACCTGACTCCCAGGTTCAGCCAGTAAAGCAAGAAATAGTTTGTGGCCACATTTGCTACGTTTGCCACAGCGGCAGAGTAGAGTTGTGGCAGGATTATACCCTAAGTACGCAAAAAGAAAAAGAAATCTATTAAAATGAGCATGATTGCAACAAGATTTGCAACATTTTAATAAACAGCGTTTGCATTAAACCTCTGGACACACCTGGTTCTGCAGGTAAGACACCTGAAGGTTGTGTAGAAACATTGCCTAAAAAGAAAGACGCTTTATTATTATTACTTTATGACACAGACACTGGTAAAAAGAAAAATCACTGATTTGTGTTTGTTAGAATGAATGTGTGACTCACTGGCACAGCGGGAAGAAAAGCTGTTATATAGAGCTGAGCAATTCTGTCAACAGATACAACCAGGTTAGGTGAGGAAACAACTGGTTTTTATTCATCTGAAAAGCCTTTTTTTTTAAAAAAAAATCCCACTATATTGTTTAAAAATGTTCTCAGATTTGAAAAAAAATGTCATTTAACAAATGATAAATGATAATTTTGCCCAGCTATACGTTCAAATATCTTGATAGAGAAATTGAGCAAATTCCATGTGAACGTGCCGAAACTCTTGCTCATCATTCCAGTTTTAAAATTGCAAAGTTTTGATGTTCACGTTTTAAAGACAATTTGCATATTTTCTCATCATAATAGATAGAGAGAAAAAATAAAACAGCCTCACGCCTTTCAGAAATTAGAAGTTACTTTCTGTAACTTGCAAAAAGCGTTTGTGTAACTTGGAGGTCATTTGTTTGAACCGACAGGTTACGGTTTGGGAGCAAAAAGAGTTCTTCTCAATCGCTAAAGTAACAAATGATACAAACTCATAAAGTATGCAATCATTTCTATAAAGTGAGCTATAAGCTCCAGAAAACTATAATAACTGAGTGCTGTACCAGGACGTTAACATGTTAATTTCAATACATTTATGACATCGATTTGGACCGATTAAAAACCAGAAGGCAATTAAACGCATCCTTTTATTCTGGGTGGAACCTTTGTGTCTGGGCGTTTCAGGTACACCCCTAAATCTGACGCACGAGCGACATCCTTTATGGACAGCATTGGACGACAAAGGCCCTTGTCTTCTCTTGGCCCACAGAGGGTTAATGTTTGCTTGATAAAACTTGCTGATGGGACGCAGAGCAACACGTTTATCACAGTGAGGTACCTGGCCACCTCAGGGTCCTGCCCCACACACAGCAGGACGGGCTGTGCGTTGATGAGCAGCCCCCAGCAGGGCAGGCAGAACAGCAGCAGGATGATGACGCTCCTCTGGAGGATCACCCCCACCTGCAGCAGATTCCTGCCCCCAAACGTCTGTCACACATCACACGCATTTCAAACTCCAGACCTGAAAGAAGCGCCTGTGAAACTGTCATAGGACAAAATGGCTTCCAGACCTGAGATATGAGAGTATCACACGCCAGTCCCAGACCGTAGCCTGTGGCTGCAGTGGTGACATTAATGGTCTGAAAGGAATCCACACTGTTTTGAGTCACGTTCCTTTCACTTATTAACAGCAAAGGTTTGATGCAATACATTGAAAAACATCTGTCATTTCTGTCCTCTTGTTGTTAGGATTTTATAAGATGAAATCTTACAAAGTATTTTATGCTGCAAATTTTTTTAGTACAGTTGAAATAAAACAAAACAAGTAACTTTTTTGGCAAAAGATAGAAGCTTGTTTAAAGTCAGTGACTCCTCAACATTGATGAAAAAGTGCTATAATAACCAGTAGATTATTTCAGTTATTATAAACAATTTTTCCCAAAGTGGTAAATGTAAATTATCTGCCAGTGGAATTAACACTTTTACATTTGACTCTGAACATGCTCCTATATCTTGCTGGAAAGTTACTGAAAAATTAGTACGTGTGCTAGGATGTGTGCACTAGAAAATGTTGACCAAAAAATACTTTTTTTGTGATTTGTGCAGTGCATAATCACGTGTCCTTTTTTTCTCCAATCAGCCTCCAGGAGTCTGATCACTTACAGCAGAAGCCAAGCCGTAGCCGGCCATCACGTCGTTTCCCAGACGCCCACAGAACATTGTGACCACAAAAGGCAGGAGGTAATTGAGGATTCGAGACAGCAGCTGGAAAGAAAAATGCTAACATCAAAGGTGAAGCAGCCACCAGCTGGCAGATGATGTTACAGTAAACACAATTAATTCTTGTTAACAGCTTTGGATTTGATAAATGAACTTTGACGGTGCCATTTTCACCCCAATCCTTCAGCAGTCAGCGACTGAATTCTTCCAGATACCGTCTTGCCTGTGAGGCTTGCACCTCTTCGGTCTTTCTTTGGCCGAGAAGGTCGAAGGTCTGGCGTACCCTACACGGTCAGAACGGGGCATGCAGGCAGTGCGGGTCCTTACCAGAGGCCCCGTCATCCTCAGGATGTGGTACAGTTCCTCCCTGTGGGGCGAGGGAACCCTGCGGCGCAGCCAGCTACAGCAGAAAAGCCTGTCGCTGGACGCTTCCATGTCTCAAGTGTGCGTCCCTCCAGCGCAGCTCCTTGTTTTTCCTCCAACATGCGTGTCTTTGTTGTGCTCTGGATGATGCCAAGGATGGAGCTCTTGCTGTGATCACAGCTTCCCTGGAGGTAGGCCAGAGCCGGCTGAAACAACAGAGATTGAATAACAAAGACGAGAAAACTCTGCAATCACAACAGAGAGCGAAATCGGGGGGGTTAGGGGGAGAGTTGAAAAGAGGGGAGTGTTCAGATCCAGGTAATGAAACATGTAAGGGACAATGAACTTGTTCTGGTGAGGGGAAGGGGATTTCTAGCAAGAATCAGATTTTTATCACTTCATTGGAAGATTGGCTCCTTTTCTACTCAGCACAGCAGTGACAGAATGAATGTGCCTCGATGTCACATTCAGGAATTAGACGAAATGCCCCTCTCAAAAGAGTCTTTCAATTAGAAAGGAAGATGGGAAAGACAAGAAAACATGCTTTTACAGTAAGGCAGATGAGTGTTGATCTCCATGTGTGAGGATTTTGCTACAATAACACAGGTACAGAAACTTGCCCACATCTGCAGGCAGAACTTTCATCACAAAGTTCAGAATAATTTTAATTGTGACACATGAGGTTAAATAAAGTCATTTACTCACCAAATGCCATCAGCCTGAACAAAGAATGACATTTTAGCATCTTACTGTGTGTGATTTTTTTTAAAATGGGAGGCAGATCATTTGATTGACAGCGCTAAGACCCGCCTCCTGGCTGCGATTGGTTGTTCCAGACCGAGCTGCAGTAGGACCACGAGAAGGCAGCAGGCAGAGGAGATGCATTTCTTTACAGATTATCTGTCTCATACTATACTGTCATGTCATCATGACATTTTAATAAATAAGTGCATTAAAACTGAACATGTTTTCCAAAAGTTACTAACTGCAGTTTTAATGTCCATAGCAACTGTGAGGTGCTGCTTACCACAAATTGTTTTGGGGACAAGAAGGAAAAAAACCTTTCATGTGAACAGAGGAGACCATGAGAAAAGAACCAAGAGTTTTGGGAAATCGACAGTGATTGTGAAAAGAGGAATAGTCAAAGTTTCCCTTCCTCTGTTTGCTTCAATTTTAGGAGATTCAGTGACCAAATTGGTAGTGTAGGACGGTCGTACAACTTATTGGCAATGGCTCCAAAACGCTTTATGATTCTCCACGACACAAATACACTCAAATCGAACGCTGAAAGGACATACAACGTCAACTTAAAACAACTAGCTTTTATTGGCTCAGATTAAACGAGTGTTTACATTTTAACAAACCACAGGCTAATTAGAGATGTGTTTACTTGCGGTTAGGGTTTGTTATTTTTATAGTTGCTCTGAGAAGTCCCATAATCACAAGCATGACACGATCTCTGCTTAATGGATCGTCGAGGTTAAGTTCGTCTTTTGTTAGGCGACAAATGTGATTTTAACCTCTGAAAGCCCAAAGCAGGATAAAGTGTCTGTGGAAATAACTTGGTGAAGAAACATACTATTTTATTTCTAAATCAAATAATATATTTAAGGCACGTTAATAACCTGTTTTTAGTCCATAAATACTCAAATTCTAACTGAGAATTAAGATTCCAGAGAGGGAATTGTGTGAGGAGTAAATGTTGTATTGACTGAGTCAAGAGTAGAGTTGCTTCCGATTTCCGGCAAGCGGACCAGGAAGTGGACGGCTGTTCCCACCGCCAGAAAGGCCAGCGCCGTAACCATGGTGATGCCTCGCCTGATGACCAGCTGGGTGGTGGAGAGGCGGCCGCTCTTCTGCCGTCTGGCCTCCTGCTCAACACGGGTCTCACTGTTCCCGTCATGTTGCTGGGTTTTCACAGGTGTGTAACCTTCGGTGAACTTAAAATGAAAACATTGAGGGAATTGATAGCAAATCAGCTTTAGACTGCTAGAGGAGCAGAATTGTGTTTTCCAGGCAGATAGTGCTGTTTTATAGTAAATAAAGTAACCTTCAGTTGCTATAAAAATGTTGTATATATGTATGTATAAAAATTTGACTTTGATATTTAATACCTTGAAATTGGGTCTCTGTCTCTTTAAGATCTCTTGCTCTTTCTGAAAGTCCGCTTTCAGGAAGTGATCACAACATGGCTCCTCTATTAACCCTTCAACAACATTTTTACCAGCGTTGCGCTGAGAAGTAGCTCGTATGACAAGCTCAGCTGACGTGCAGTTCAACAGCTGTCTGCTAATTACTGCTGGCTAGTTTGGTAGCTTGAAACCTACAGCTCAGAGGAGGAAGAGCTCCGCCTTCAAGAACTAGCTCTTGAAGGCGGAGCTAGGGCCACCCAAGCATTTGGCACAGCCAAATGGCTGCCAAAGGAGCATAAACGATTTCTCAAACATGTGTGAAAGAGTCAAATCAACACCCCAGGTGTGTTCTTGTCGAGGGATTAACATTATAACATGATGTAAAGCTCAAAAAAGTCAATTTTACTTGATACTGCCCCTTTAAAAATAGCTGATGACTTACATTTCCATTGCTTGGTGGTTGACCGTGAACTGTGCGGTTGTCTGACGGGTCATCTGCTCCTAACAGAGTCAGGTGAGTCTTTTTCATGGCCCGTTTTACTGCCTGGAAACAAAAGCATGACCGACATTGAGCAATTAGCTTTTTACCAATTGCACAGTTATGCTTTATGCATAATTGGTCATGAGCAATGAAGGACGAAGGATGCTTGGTTTTCTGCATTTCTTTTCACAATAAAAGAAAAACAAGTATGGCATTTATTTGTATTCAACCTCTTTTATTCAAATACTCCTAAATAAAATCTGGTGCTCCCAAATGTCTTGAACAGCCATGTAAATAAGATTCACCTTTGAGAAATTTTATGAGAGCAAGGAACCTGTTCAGAACTGTTTACAGTTCTCGTTAAATCTTAGTATTAATCCAGACATATTAATCGTATCTGAAGGCCTCTGAGGGGTTTTGTTGTTGTTTTTATTAATATTGGAAGACAAACAGAATTACAAAGACCAGTGAACACAACCTGAAAGTGAAGGGTCACGTTGTCAAATAACATCCGTCACTTTTAGACCTCTGACAGAGAAATGTTCAATCAGTCATCAGAAAATGGAAGCAGTGCCAAAATTGCACACCTATCAGAACATGGCTGTCCACTTGAACTGACAGGCTGAGGAAGAAGAGCACCGTCAGAAAAGCAACTCTAACTCTTGAGAAACTGCAGAGATTCACAACAAGGGTGGGAGAATCTGCTCATGTAACCAGTCCTGCACTCCACAGACCTGGCTTTTGTGGAAGAGAAGAATTGTCAAGAGGACTGGAGCTGAATACAAATCTCTCCTGTGACGTCACATTTCTGGGAACTTTGTAGCTGATCTTGATAGGTAACTAACTGTCATGACGGTTGCTAAGGAGTTGCTTGCCTCCAACGTGCGTTACATGAGTTTTTTATGACCCAGGTCATAAAGCTCAAGTCAATAGTTCATGACTTGAAAATTATGCTGACCATCATTTGCATTGACCACTTAAGAAAATCTGAGAAAATTTGACTTGCATCATAATTTAAACACAGTGTAATAATTGTCAAACTACTAGAAAGATAGAATACCTCCTCTGTCATTTTCTTCCAGTTCAACCTGAAGATCACAATGATGTAGAAAGTGGAATGCAGGACAACACAAATGAGCAGCCCGAGCCAAAACCCTGCAGAGACAAGACAAATGGTTCTGTCAGAAGCACAGCAGGCCTCACTTGTTACAACCTTCGTTTCCTGTGCAAACACTAATTTGCCCTAAACGCTGGTGAAAACAGCGAGTCGGTTTCACTTCACAGACTCACCTGAAATTCTCAGCTTTGCGACAAACATCAAAACCACGCTCATCGTCAGCCCCACGCAGTAGTATGCAATGAAATTGGCCACAGCTGGTATCCTCTGTTTGCCTGTGCCCAAGAAGATGCCGGTGCACACACACTGAGAGGACAGGAGACGCACATGTGAGACTCTTGGCTCAGTGCAACAAACAGATTTGCTCTGCATACAATGACTCACCACAAGGCCGTCGAAGAGCTGGAGGAAGCAGTACACAGTCATCAAGTTCGACACAATTCTTGCAATATTCCTGAAAAAAAGGTTCACATTGAAATATTCACTTTCCATTGCAAAATAATTTTTACAAATGAGAACATTTAAAGTTTGTAACATTTATCTTTTAATGTAACTCCATGCTCTCTACTAGCTGCAGCTAGCATAGCCTGTTCTGAATGCTCAAGCTAGTTAGCATGACCACTGATGAAGGTGGATGAGTAGTTTTCCTGTGACAGTAAGTTGCTTCCCTTCCAAAGGCACATTTGGCACCGCATACATGAGGTTGATTGACATCGCTAAGACCCTCTTCCTGTCTCTGATTGGCTGTGGAGCTTGATATTTTCACAGATTGTGTGTGGCACGACATACTGTCATAGCATACAAATATGTAAAAAACATTTTTTTTAATAAACGTTACAATACTGCGGCTTTAAATGTACAGACTCACTCATCAGCCGTGAAGAGGTAGCCGATGACTGTTTTAGTGCAGCCAAGCACAACGCCTTCAACGAGAGCAAAGGAAACTGGAAAATAAAAGAGAAATTACAAATTTATCAAAAAAGTATAATGAAAACAATATGATTCATTTGACAAATGTTTGACCTCACCTGCCAGACTGAGTGACAGCTTGGAAACGAGGAGAGCTCTGGCGGTGTCTCCTGCACCGAGAGCGTTGCCCACACGCGCGCAGGCCGCAGATTGAATCCCAAGAGGGAACTGCAGATCCCAAAACATGGAAATATAAAACACATAACTGACATTACAGGGATTAACAAAAAACCTGTCAAATTGTGCAATTTTATGATCAATGAAAATTCAGATAGTGACAGATCATCTATCTGTCACTATTAAATAAACAATAACATAAAAATAATTAAAATAAACACATGAAAGGTTTGTCTGCAAATGCTGAGGTCAATCCACAATTATTGTTTGAGAAACGTACAATTCAGAATCCCTAAAATATGGGATTCTGAACTCCATAAGCCTCACCATGTAAGTGATGAAAGCGATCATCACCACAGCATGTTGGGCTGCCAGTTCATCCTCACTCAGCATTCCTGATTATTACAAAAAAATAAATAAATATGGGAGATGACAGAGAGACAGGGGTAAATTTAGCCATTCCTTGATGCTAGACAACATTGATCATGTGACCAAATAGTTAGATAATTGAGACTGTGAAGGTAAAGTTGTTAGACTTTTATTCCTTAAAAAAGAAGAAAGTAAAACATTTCCACTCTTAAATGTGAATTCAATCATAAGTTTCATAAAAAATGTATTCAGATATTTTCAAATTTTGTTTTATATGTCAATTATGCTAAATATGAGCAGGAACATAAAAAGTAGCCTTTTAGCTCTGGACACAAATAAAGTTGAAATTGTAGTTTTGGGGGTAAGTTGAGCCATTTGTTTTATTGCTTTATTACCAAAACAGTTTAGTTTCTGCTTGTTGTGATTGTCTGAAGGGAAGAACAACATCCTGAAATAAATTCAGATATATAAGCTAATCACCAAACTAATGTCGCCTTCATGAAGTTTTCCTAAATATCAAAAATGCCTCTCCGTACCCCCAGTCTCTGCTACTGGTTTTCATTCGAAATGGTTTTTGACAGAAGCGAACTGGTTGATGCCAGCTGTCCACTGCAAAATTACCTGCAAAGAATCCTCCAAACTCATACACCCACCACTCAAAGCAAACCATCAACAAGCTGGGGATGGCCAGCTTCATGTAGGATCCCCACTCCTGCAGTGATTCCACAGACCAGCCTGCAGGGGGAGGAAGACTCCTATTTATCCTTTGATGAGTTATGTGAAGCCAAAAACCAAAAAAACAAAACAAAAAGGAAGACAGTAGGTCAAAGCACTGACTGCTCACCTCCCCATGTGTTCACATGTAGCTTCTTCCACCAAATGTATGCAAACAGAAACACACAGATATAAATCTGCGAGAGAGTGTTGGCCGCTGCAGAACCACTGCAAAGAGAGGCGGGTCACACTCAGACCCTTATGTGATTGTGAGTAACTGTTTTGGGACGTGTAAGGAACACCTACACAACGCCCAGATTCATCCAGTGAAGGAAGGTGAAGTTTGTTGCCAGGTTGGCAATGTTCGCCAACAAAGCAGTGTACATTTGGGGCATGATTATTCCCTAAAAACACAAGCATGCAGGTGTTGGTAGTGCCACAAGTTTAGACATTATTCTTATAGGAGTTATAATACGTCACAACTTGCCTGGTTCTGCAAATAGGACACCTGAAGGTTATATAGAAACATGGCCTAAGAGAAAAGAAGAGAATGAAATTGGCGTTGTAGGCAGGATAGGGTCTGTATCCAGAGCCTAACTAGGTTATTCACAACCCCTTTGCCAGTTCTTTGTACCTTTTGCTACAATCGGTTTTTCGGATGTGTGCATGTGTCTGTGAGCTTTAGCCATCCAGGCAAATCAGACACTGATTTATTTATTTTCAAAGAAGAGCATTTCTGAACTTCCTTTAGATGAATCTCAATAAAAATTAGGTCTGGATGTTACTTTAGACCATTTTTAATAAAGATTCTTGGATTGAAGTCATTCTTTTATATATATTTTTTTATTTTTTAGCTGTGGCTGTATGTTTAGGATTGTTAAGGTAAAACATTTGCCTAGTATAAAATTCCTTGCAGTTTCTGCCTGGCTTTGTGACAGGGCTGCCCTGTTTTTAGCTCCATACATTTACATTTCAACTCTGATCAGCCTCCCTGTCCCTGCTTAAAACATCCATATGTGGCACTGAAAAGGTTAATTTTAGTATTTTGTTTTTGACAAGATTATCTTCTTCCACCTGTTTGCTCTTCCAAAAATTCAAATTGAAAACATCATCCAAGTGAGTATGGACCTCTCAAGTTCCTCAAGAGTTATCATTTGACTCAGTGGAGTAACACATGTTGGTAATTTTGCAGTTGTTCCATTTTCTAATAAACTCTATGCTGCTATATGTTCAGGGTGCTGAACGACAAACTGACCACTCATTTTTTCTCACGCTGCTTCATTCTTCAACCACTCTGCAATTTGCATTATTATTCTGTTATTTAAACTTTTTTCTTGAATTGAATTGAATAGGCTGCACTGTGTGAGATGTTTCAGTGTCCATTTCTTTTTGACTCCTGTTGTTAACTGATGGTTTAGTCCTTTGGGTAGCTGAGAAAAAGGTCATCAATATGAATGTGCACAACAATTTGAAGTGGATATTATTTTCTCTCCACTTCACAATTATGTACTTATTTTGTGACAACATTTGTTGTGATTTGGAACTATGCAAATAAAAAAAAAAGTATTTTGTCTTGGTCTGTAACGCCAACATCGGTTGATGCCTGTAACATTTGCAGCCAGAACTGCACATGTTTTGGCTGCGTCATAATGAACAGTGAAAGGAGTATGAATATATTCCAGCTAACTACAAAATTACAAATCACAGGAAGTCAAGGCTCAACGTGTCAAAAAAAGGTAAAAACTTACTGGTACTGCAGGAATAAAAGCTGTTATATACAGCTGGGCTACTCTGAAAATAAGAAACAGTGCTCAAAACTTATTACCAAATTGTTCACTGCAATATGTTAGCACACAATGTTAATGTTCAGATTTTGCTACAAATAAATAATGACTTGGCGTTTTGAGCAGCTACAGCTTCATGTAGTTACCTCGCCACCTCAGGTTCCTGCCCCATGCACAGCAGGATGGCCTCGGCGTTAATGAGCAGCCCCCAGCAGGGCAGACAGAACAGCATCAGGATGATGATGCCCCTCTGCAGGATCACTCCCACCCGCAGCAGGTTCTTACCCCCGAACGTCTGGCAGCACCGCACAGGCGGCAGTAATCATTCAGCGAAGTGCAGTAATGAATAGTTAGGATGTGGAGTCAGTTAAAAGCGAGTCAAGACATATTAACAACAAGTTTTCAAACCTGGGACACCAGCGTGTCGCATGCCAGACCCAGACCGCATCCCGTGGCTGCAGTGGTGACGTTAATGACCTGGAATCAATTCAAAGCATACTGTTGCACACTTTACTGAGGCGCTCCTTGTTTTTTGCTAATATTTTCACTACTTATGACAGCTTACGTTGATTAAAACATTAGTTTTAATAAGTGTCAGTAAAATGTGAGTCACATCTCTGTCATTTTTGTGTTTATGCTTAAAAAACGTATTTTAAAAACATGATAGAATATGAGCACTTACTGAGGAGGCTAATCCATAACCAGCCATCACATCATTTCCCAGGCGTCCGCAGAACATTGTGACAACAAATGGAAGCAGGTAATGGAGAATTTTGGAGAGTAGCTACAAACGCAAACAAGATTCATGGAACAGGTGGCACTAACACACATATGAGACAGAAGGTTTCATATTCTATCTATCATAACTCCAATTAGTCTGGACAGCTGTCGTTACACACACATACGCATGCACACATGCACACACACCCACGCAGTTGTGTTTTTATGTCTTGATTAGACTTTACATTGACGTCTAATCAATTTTCTACAACCTGACTTTTACCCAAACCTTAACTCTAACACCTAACCAATCAGCATTTCCCCTCACGTGGACCAAGAACGGTCCCCACAAAAAGCAGTGGGCCCCACATCTATGTTTTAATATAGATCCCCACAAGGATAAAAAAAACCCTGCTTTACACACTCACACACACAACCCCACTAAACATGAATCTTGCAGTGACTAAAAACACATCATTATAACTCAATTCTCCAAGAAAAATCTTGATCCACTCAAAAACGAATATATATTAATTGAAGCGTTCCTTACCAGAGGCCCTGTCATCCTCAGGATGTGGTAGAGTTCATCCCTGCAGGCCGTGGGAACCTTGTTGCGCACCCATCTGCAGCAGAAAAGCCTGTCACTGGACGCATCCATGTTTGCAGCAGTAGATGTTAAAGCAGGTTTTATTAGATGTTTTTTTAAACATCTGTCCTCTCTGTCATGCTCTTAGGTTTTGATGCTGTCCAGTGACGCTCTGGAAAGGTGTTTGAATGTGGGGAAAAAAAGTTACTAATTGATCAACTCACGGTCGCTTAACACTTTGTTAGGTCGGACGAACAAAGATTACATAATTTACACATTAAGCAGTACATAGTAAGCCCAACAGAATAAACCTTCATATGGGCAAATAAGGTGATGAACAAAGACATCTGGAATGACATACGCAACTGACATGTTTCACACATTCACACAGCCAGGATTGCTCTTTACTTCCTGTTGTGTTATTTTTAGGAGAAATAACCTGACAGAAAAAAAATGTTGAAAATTTTTGTGAGCCACTGGGCTAGAGGTCTTCAACCTGTGGCGCTGGAGCCATAAGTGGCTCTATGGTCCTTCCACATTAGCTGTGTTTTCATTACAAATGTGTGAAATCTGAAGACAGTTTTAAAGTAACTAAAACGATGTATTGTAAAAACCTCTATCACACTTTCCTTTCACTTCAGAGGTTTTCCATCACTCTGTGTTGGCCTCGATCATGAAATCTTAATGGATACAACATGTGACAACATGCAAAAAACAGATAAGGAGAATGTTCAAATAACGCAATGTAAGCTAACACAAGAAATGTGGTGTAGAGTTTAACTTCTAATTACACACAGCTTCGATTTAATTTAGGATTTTTCTGCTATCATGTTGAAGGTAATTTGAAGGCAATTAGCTGCTACTGTGGTTAGCATACCAAACAAGCATAACTCGCCCTGTCTTCACCCCTGTTGTTGTGTATAATGTGTGAACAGCTGCTAGAAGTGAGAGTCATGACTATTCATGAAAACCCTGTGCATTTTAATGGTCACACCAGTTTCTTTTGAAGGATGCGAATAATCCTAATAAATCTCCATCACCGTCGGCTGACATGTTCATTAAAGTGTTTGGGAGTATGAAACATGAACATGTCAGATGGCTCGGAGTCCCTCTGGAGAATACTCGAGTAAACCAGAGAGTTCTTTGGCAACATGGAGAACGAGATGCAACCCTATGCTGGTATCAAACTGGAAAAAAAACAGAAAAATCAGCCATCTGAGGTTGAGTCATAACATGCTGAACAGCTGCCATGCCTCAACTAACATTGGATTGAACTTTGGAAAACACTTCAAATGACAAAGATTTTTTGCTGTATTTTTATTACAGCGCAGTTAATGCATACACTAAATATGCAGAAAGTTGCAACAATACATGATATACATCGGAATCAGACATTGCTAGACTTATTTTTCAACATATCAGTATTAGTTTGATAAATAAAACTTGGCTGATAATAAAAACAGATATTTATTTCCATCTTGCTGCCATTTGGGGGAAGGGAAGGAGGACGGTCATGTGGTATTTGTTTGGTCGTGTGATAGCAGTAGTGATGCACCAAAGGATTGTGGGAGGATTAACTCAAGGTAAATATATTTATATACAATATCTTTGTGTTCAAACACTTTGTGTTCTTGCCACTGACAAGAATTTAAATTTATTTCTGTAATATCCTTGTTTTTCTTTTTTACGGTAAAAAATGACTGAAAATAAGTAAAAATGTCAAATTTCAAATGTCAGTTATCGGGCATTACAGCAATATTAATATCGGATATCGACATTGGCCCAAATTTTCAAATTGGTGCATTTCTAATTTTTTATGGCGCTAATATGAATGTTTTTTTACAAGAACTAGTCAATAAATATAAAAACTATTGCATATATAATTTTTTCCAAATGAACAATGTTAGTTGCTTCGTTGATTGTGAGTGGCTGATGTGCAAGAGATCAGAGATGTTCAGAACATGCTATAATTAACGGTCTAAAACTGAGAAGCAGAAATTTGTAATCAATAGGAACTTAACTGGTAGACAAAGAAGCTTGTAAGCAAAATAGAGTGTAACCCATAGCTCTGAATCTGAAAAAAAAAAAAACATCTGTTCAGGAAAAAAAGAGCAAAATGTGATTATTTCTCATCTCTATGTTCAGGTTTTCAGTCTTGGTTTCAGGCAGACTGATCTCCCCTCAGTGTGACACAGAGACCCTCAGGCTTTGTGTTTGCCAACTCAATCCAGCTGCTACAATAAGATGCCTTCCCACTGATTTGTATCTGTCACTTATTTCCTCTAACTGCATTACGTCAGTGTATGTGTGTGTGTGTGTGTGTGTGTTGGTGTGTGTCCGTGTGCGTGTGTGTGTGTGTAGACATCCTATCATCATACATCATATGATCTCTCGACGTCCCTGCCTCTTCTCTGCATTAACATTCTTGCCTTTCTGACCTTCCAGCTCCTTCTCCCGTATTATGGGAGAAGCAAACCTTTACTTTCATTACCTGAAGACTGAATGAATAACTTCACTATAAGAGACATGTTGCTCCTGAAAGCTCTCTAACATCTGTGCTTTTAGCATTAATACCAGACACAGGAATTTCACTTATATTTAGTGGGTTTTTATAAAGATATGTAAGTTATGTTTGAATTACAGATTATCAGTTTTGAGGTTTCAATGTAAAGAAAGTGAAGTTTATATAAATTAGACTGTTGCCTTTGATTTATTTTGTTACCCAACAACCACAAGTTGTTTGTTAGAGTGACACAACATCCATAGACAGCAAAGTGGAGTTAGAAGGATTCTTGTTTGCTCGAGCAAATTCAGATTAGCTTGATAATGAATGGCAGTTTTATAAATCTGTAACTCAAGTTTTCTGGGACGTTCTAAGACATTAATACCCTTTGCTCGGACTGGATTTCATTTAGATGCAGCTAAATGCAAACACATGACACATTTTTTTTTCATTTCTTCGTTTATTAAGCTTTCCATCATTTTGTTTCCCTGATTGTTAATCTGTTAAATTAAATCTCAATAAAACAAATATAAGTTTGTGATTGCAAAGTGTAAAAAAAATTTAGACAGGTGACATTACAGCGCAGTGCAATTAAAAAGCATTATGATCGACATTTGATTGACAAGTCGTTTGAAAATCCTGTCAATCAAATTATGCCACTTCTGCCAACCAGTTTCTCACGTTTCATTTGCTGAGCCGAGCTCAGACATTCAGTTTGATCATTAAACGGCTCCGAATATCACGGCAGGCGTCTTTAAAAGCTGATGTGTGACCCGTCCCGGTTAACACAGCTTATGTATTTACAGTCTGCACCCTGCTGTTAAACATCAGCCTGTTTGAGATGGTTTTATAATGGCTTCATCATTCTGACTGTTTACAGAAACCGTTGCTGCATCTCCAGCTGTCTACTTCCACCTCTGTAAGTGAAATTTTTGCCGTCAGAAAAAGTGTACGGGACATCTTCAGTGTTTATAATCACTTCTAAACGATAACAATAAAAACATCTAACATTTGTCATATTCATTGGGTGTTTCTTCTGTTATGCATCTGGAAAGCTCCAACTATCAATTTCTATGGTTGTACCAAAAAAAGTTTGCCAAACATTAACTGGCTGCCTCTGTCTGCTTGTTCCTAAAGATCTAACCATAATAAACACAGAAGTGCTTTTGTGTGCATGACTCATCAATATTAACATGTAAACATTAATAAAGCCGTCACCAGAACACCAGCCGTCTGCTTTATTTTGCCAGGATATATTTACTTTGTAGCACACAGTTTTGCATCTCACCTTCGCACTGAAAAAGCATCAATAAAAGAGCTTTTAGTGAAGCCCACCAGTAAGTGGAGGTGTTATGTTTTCGAGAAATAAGTACAAAATCTTTGCCGCTTTTATCTCTGCAAACAGAGATCTGACCTCATACTGAAAGCATCCCGCCACACATATTCACCTGCTGCTAAACAAATCTATTGACAAGTAAACAGATTTCACTCCTAATTTCTTATGTAAATGCCCTGACAATTGAAATTATTGATAAGCCAATATAAAAATAAAATACTAAATACAAAAAAAGCAGTTCTTGATTTGAAGAATGTTTAATTTAAGGGGCAGTATTATGTGTTAACTTCATTTGTTATTTATGTCAAATAAATAACATTTATAAGAAATCCGACCTTGAAATTGGGCCTCTGTCTCTTTAAAAACTCCTCCCCTTTCTGAAACTCCGCCTTCAGGAAGCCATAACATGGCTCCTCTTTTAGCAATGTTTTAACCAGCAGTACAGATGCTCAGTTCCACTAGGTGTTTGCCAATTGCTGCTGGCTAGTCTGAAGGAGCTGAGTGGAAGGGTTGCGGGGGGAAGGCTGCTCTATGCGGTGAAAGCTCTGTCGCTTGGAAACGGCAATAGGGAGGAGGAGCTGTGCCTCAAAGGCGGGGCTTGGTCCTCCCAGGGGTTTCACACAGCTGAATGGTTGCAACGGGAGACTAACGGATTTCTCAAACATGCATGAAAGAATCAAAGTCACACTGGGTAAAGCTCAAATAAGTTAAATTTACATAATACTGCCCCTTTAAATATAAAACTGTAGCAATAAGGTGTGTAGTTGTCCAGTTCATGACTCTACACAAAAGTAGAAGACATTTGTGTAGACTTTGCAAACTGAGCTGACTCTTGAATTTAAATAAGTCATAATCTGAGGAGACTCCATTGATGTCTTGGGCTCAGTTAAATATTCTCTTTCATGTCATCTTTCAGAATCCAGTAGGTTAAACACCAGCGGCGTTAACGAGCTGCGGGATTGGCTGACGGGTCTCCCTTAAATACCGAAACAGTGAAAGTACCAGCTATGATTGGAATTGCATAGTCGCTATTTTAAAACACATCCTATATGTAATACATATATATTTTACAACAAAGAAGAGAATTGGACGAACTGTCAGTAACCTTCTGCGGCACAGTGACAATTAAGCTGAAATAAATATTGATGACTCTGGACTTTGCTCAGTGAAAGATGTGAGCTGGGCGTTGAGGGGACGTGGCCGGTCACATCTGATGCCACCATCAGCTCCAATATGCTGACCTGCTCTGCCTGAGGCCATTCGAGATAATTGCTTCCAAAAATTCAATCTTCTGACTTTTCCTTTTTTTTTTCCCTCCCCAACTCCTGGAAGTAAACTTCTGCAGCCAGTTTTATGAATCTGATTTCTCGCCCATATCTGAGGATGAGTTTTGAGCTGATAATTATAGATTTAGAACGTTTGATCGAGAATCATGTGCTCATGTGAAATTCTTTTGCAATTACTGCTTTAATAATCCAACATTTTTAACTAAATTGAACTCATTCAACAAACGAGACACATCTTAAAGTTGCATTTACAAAAGAAAAAACATTTTCTATAAAAGATTTCATAAATTTCCGCTGTGATACACAGAACCAGATTAAAGGACTCTTGCTTTGATTTCTTGCTGATTTCTAAGGTTAATTCTAAAACCTATTCATGTCAATACGCATAAATATGTTTATTGAGGAAACACCAACACATCAAAGTATTTATTGCCCAGCCAAGTAATGCCATTATTATATAGCAAAATTAAGTAACTGTGGTTTTTTTTAGTTGTTATGAAACTGCTGTATAAAACAAACATAAAAGAAATTTAACTTTGCAATTTCGTGCCTTGAAATTGTGAGTCTGTCTCTTTGAGAAGCTCCAGATCTTTCCGACCATAACGCTCCTTAGTTAAGCCTTTAACTTTGCTTTTCAGAGCGTTGCACTGAGAAGTCGACTTCCCCCACTCAGCTCCTTCAGACTAGCCCACAGCAATTAGCAAACACCTAGTGGAACAGCACATCAGACAAGCTCCTTCTCACTGAAACCCTGATAAAAAGGTTGTTACAGAGTTAATAGAGGAGCCGTGTTGTGACGACTTCCTGAAGGCGGAGTTTCAGAAAGAGCAGGGGATTCTTAAAGAGACAGACGCACAATTTCAAGGTGTTAAATTGCGAATTAAAATGTCTTTTAAGTGATATCTGATATATATACAGCATTGTTTTTATAACAAGATAACAATTACATTATTGTGCTACAAAATGGCACAATGTGCCTGGAAAATACGTAATACAGACTAATAAAACACAATGTTTTAAATATTTTGAAATAACAGATTTATTTTATGTATCTAGCCAAACTGCAAGTAATATGTTTGTGTGCATCATAAAGGAACCCCAGCTAAATTAAATGTTTTATTAGACTCTTCATTAGATATTTTAGACATTTTAAGTCGAGGTTCATGCCTATTTAGTGAAACCAAATGAACTATAAACTCTCAGAATAAGAGAGAAAACCCTATAAAAGCCCATCATGTCTGTTTTAAAAGCTCGATTTGGCCTTAAATGTCAGCTGAGAAATGAGCAGATGCTTAATGCGTTTTGTCCTTCTGTTTCCTCGCTGGCTCTGCGTTAACAGAAGCCAGACTTGTGAATGATCTGTCTGGCTGATCTGCTGAAAGTGAGGATGGAAGGCCTGGTGAGGCTTGTACCGAGGCTCGTCGTGCTTCTTTTAGTGTTTGATTCAAAAAGCTTTTCAGAGGCATATGTTTGGATTTTTCACATGTTGTCAGAACGAGTCCTACGACTTTGTATTGGTGTGTTTTTGTGATGTGAAGCATCTTGAACTGCCTTGTTGCTGAAATGTGCTATACAAATAAACCTGATTGATTATAATCACAACTTTCAATGTATTCAATTTGGATTTTATGCGATAGTTTAAGATAAACTATTGAATAGTTAAGTCATAATTGACATACATATCATTTTTGTAACAAAAAAAGTTAATATTTGCTTGATTGAGGTTTAAAATTATGTTATGTGGCTGGAAAACACATCACTGCCCCTCTTAATCAATTATTCGTATGCTGAATTATTTGGTAATGCACAGAAAGTGGAAATGAGAAAAGTGAGGAACATTAAAAATTTCTCTAATACTAATTATATGTATCTGTTTTTTGTATTACAGAATCTGTGAGTTTCTTTCTACCATCTAAACACCAATTGACTTCATTTCTGCGAAACGTCCTCTAAAGCGGTGATCCTCAAGAGCCAGCGTCCTGCAACCGTTGGGTGCAATTCTTCTCCAACAATCGAATGAACATCTCGCTCCCCAGCCTCTGTGGAGCTGAATGGCGGCTGATGAGGGAATCGAGCCATTTGATTGAGGCGTGTTGGAGAAGAGACTGGGGTTGGAGACCTGGCCTCTAAAGACGGCGAGTCAGTGCAGCCTCAAATAGATCTGAGCCGTTCTGTGAGAACAGCTGATTTGAAGGACCTTTTGTGACCCTGAAAGCCTTCAACTCAATCTGTAACTGTAAAAAAACCCAAAGAAAGTTTAGTGGCCACGCTTCGCGTGCTTCAGCCCTTCAACGTTCAATATATGGCGGCCATTTTCTGACTCACCAAGAGCATCAGTCTGAACTCTGTTAGGAAGAGTCAAACATCTGCAGAATATTACTCCAGCTGTTCATCTAATTTATTGATCTGTCTCCGTAGAAAAGCACAAATCCTGCATAGGCACAGAGTCGACCAGATGAAATAAATCCAAAAGACTCTCTTTCATCTATGAAATATCTTTATTTATGTGAAAGACGGACCGAGCCCGAGAAACACAACCACATGTTCATCTCAACAGGAGAGCTGTACAAAAAATAATTTTGTAGATTAGAGGAATTTCATTTGTTTTTGATTCAAAGATTAGATTACAGTAAAGCTCACGTCATGTGTTGTTAATAAATGGCAAATTACCAATAGTTAAGTCATGAGGCGTGAAGGTCTATAAGTTGACAATATCCTTTATTTCATATGTGCTCGACAATATTATTTGATATTATCTGTCGTTGATTTGTGTCTGTACTGCCCAGAATGTTTGCAAATTAAATAAGTTTGAGGTGAAACTAAGAGGTAACATCACAGTAATGCCCTTGTAACCGAAAGATATGTGCATTTTTTTTTCATTTTAAGACTCATTCACTTGTAATAAATTAAAGTTCTAATTAAGATGTTCATTTTACTGGTTTTAATCCCGTTTTCCATAAATTTTGTGGTTATTTTTTTATTTGCTCAGTAGAACCACAAACACTGTAAAGAATATAAATAATGATCACTCACAATACAAATAACTATTAGATTGTTATTTGCCATTTAATAACTGTTTTTTTTATATTTCATAGTATAAAACTTGAAATATGCATTACAGGCTGCACAGAATATATTTATTTAAGGTGTGTGTTGATAATGGGAATGTTCATTTGGCTGCTTCAGTAACAACATGTACAGTTCTGGTCAGATATTTACATACATTCATTATGGGTGTGAATCTACTGTTAATAATAAAGCCTTCACACCTTTCTTTTTTTGGGGAGCAGCGATTATACAACAAACAGCTTCACTGAACACAACGTTCAGGACTAACGTGTTCATTTTGGTGTATTAATTACACAGATTTTAACACGTTGAGGTTTTCGTTTCCGGCCAGAACTTTTGCATTTGTGCGTTTCTGGTACCATAAATTTGGTGCAGAAATGACTGGAGACAACAGTGATGGACAGAAAAACCCTCCTACTCTTGGTCCACCAGGGGTTAAAGGTTAAATTTTGCTTTGAAAAACTTTGACGGGATGCTGGAAAAGACTGTTGTGTTTAAGTTGTAAAATAAATAAATAAATAATCCACAATTCAGGCATTTCTTGTTTTTAAAATCACTGAAGTTGTTTGCTGTATCATCATTCCACACTGAAAAAAAAAAGTCTGGTTTTTATGCATCACTGCGAGGTGGAATATCGTAAACGTCTCACTGGAACTGTACATCCAAAAAAACAAAACAAAAAACACATACGTTTTAAAGTTATTTTCTTTTTTCTTACAATAACCGTACATTTATCAAGAAATAACTGGTGCAGTGTTATTTCAGAGGCAGCACTACACTCAGTCATACATAGCAATAATCCAAAAGTCAAACTTTATGCAGGCTACAGGAAGGGAAAGAAAAAGTTTCACAATAATCCTCCCTTCTGGATTGCACAAATCATTCGTTGCACAGATTTTTATTTAAAACAAGACACCATAAGACGGCATAATCCCCTCTCCTTTTATAGCAGGTATAAAAGACTCAGTTGGGTAATCCTCCTCTGCCCTACTGATTCTTTCCAGAGCCACAAAAATCCATGCGCTGTTCCTAAAAAACTGGCAGTGGAGCTGCAAAGAGAACATGCAGATAGATCCTCATCGGCTTCTTCGTCCTTCTCTGATTCCTCTGCAGAGACGTTTAGACTCTCTAAATATTCACCAACACACACACGCACACGCACACACACGCACACGCACACACACACACACGCCCACGCCCACACACACACGCAACCACGGCATCTAAAACCTGTCAAACGTCGACATTAATGCACTTTATGCCAGGATTGATGGTAGGAACAAATGCTCCACAACATAAGTAAACAATTTAAGGCTAAAATGAAAAGAGTTCAACACAGATCTAAAAACATACATTGAAAATATTCCTATTTACAGTATTTCCCCATAGAAAAATATGCACACATTTTTCCAAACATAACCACGTAAAACTTCAAGTGCACAAGACTGTCGGATTTCAGCATAAATACTCGAGTTTTCAGTGCAGCAGTAATAAATAAATGCAGGGGCGTTCCGGGCCGATTTTTCAGTGGATCAAGTCCGTGGGCTTAGCTAGCTAATGGCGCCGAACAAGCGAGTGAAGTAAAGCTGCTAATAAAGCTGGTTACAATGAGAAAACTCTCATCACTTGTCACGACCGCTTTATAACCTGTAAACATGTTTAGGCATAATTCATAACATTTATTCTTTCAACCACCAAGCAGCGACTGTGCAGAATACGGCGCTTTAGTGAAAAAAACCCCAAAAAACAGAAAAACAAAAGTGACCTCGGCGGGAGCGGAGCCGTGTCTCTCTTCAAAGACTCCAGACCAGGCGCCGCTGTCTGCCGTCGTAATGCGCGATCTGCTGTTCTGCTTGGAACGGAGGATGAATCAGTAGTGATGTGAGTGGGAGTAAAAAAAGAAAAAAAAAAGAAGCAGAGGCAGAGATTGGATACTTGGAGCGCCGCAGGCCGCACAACTCATGTAGAGATTAAGCCAAAATGTCACAGAACTCCTGTGTCCAGAGGCCCAAGCATGGGGGGTGAGTGAGAGCTGCATATTTACATCGGCAGAGCGGCTCAGTGCCGGCTGGAGTCGGCACTGAGCCGTACCTTTGAACGGAACCAAAACGATTCCATTCCATAGTCTGGAGAAACGTCCACTGCTTTCATCCCAGGCTGAATGCTCTTCGACACACAATACAAGATGCCAGTAAATTCATAGTCATAGCCACATTGGTCAAATTTTACATTTAGATAGCATTTGAGCTCGGAACAATTATTTGCCAAAAGAAAACAACTTCGCGACTGTTTTAAATTCAGAAGACTGAACTCATCTATAGAGAATATCACGAAACGAAATCCATCGAGTGGAAAAAGTGTCGAGGGCCAAGTAGGAGGTGAAGCTTAACTGCCAGCAAACACCAAGGTACAGCAGCCAGAAGTGTCAGCAGACTCTGCAAAGTAAGAAAACATGTTACAAATTCAATAAACCGCTTGAACATAGTTTTTAAATCTAACTGGAGAAATACAGCAGGGGAAAAAGTATGAACACTTTTGTCGGTGAATAGGAGAGTTTGTTATACCAAGTGATATGAAATTCAGAAATTAACATGTCAATAACAACCTAAACTAATCAAGTTAGAACTTTGTTAGATAAAGTGGAATTATAGAGGAAGATATTGCTGTGAGAGGTATCCTAGATGTTCAAATTCAAAGTTTGACTCAATTTTCCAAACCAAAGATCTTAAGACAAAAGTCCAGGGTGCATCGTCAACAGGCTCTTTGGTTTTTCATATTCATTTTCCATTTAAGTCAGGAATCGCTGCATTTATTAAAAATTCACCATTGTTTCATGTGCAGGCTCTTATCAGTACGGTTCATTTCTCTACTTGCTGGTTTCCCAGTTTCAGTTCAGGTTTATGGTTTCCAGCACCAAATCCTAACAGCCACACAAGAGCTGCTCTGTTATTTTAGGAGGAACATGATGAGTCTTTCTATCTGTCTTTATTCACCAGAAAACATTCTTCTAGATTGAACTGTTCAATGCAGTGTGTTGTTCATATACGTCTCCACCATGTTACTGTATTATTTAAAAATGCCAGACATTGCATGCAATGCATACGATTTCTGTTTTTTGTCATCAGTAGCTGCATTTTCATTACATGCACACAGCAGCCAGGCTTCCATCTTCACAACACTTTTTGAAAATGGCTTGAGTTTACGCCATTTGGAAGATGTCACAGTTGCACTTGCATATTTATTCTCATGGACAAATTTGCATTTGCTTTCTGCTTGGGAACCGGAGCTAATAATAGCATCTGTTCCTCTAGTTGCCACGGGAATATTAAATATTGAGGGAAAGATTGTAATTGTCTTGAAATTTCATGCCGCGCTCCTGTTATTGTTCTTTATGCCCCTACAGTGTGTGCTCATACAGTGGCCCGTATATAAAAAATAATGAGGTCTCTGCCACCACCGCATATCAGATTTAGCAGAGAACGTAATTTAATCAATACAGACATTTATTGACTTTGCTGGAACTGAGCCCTAGTGAGCAAAATCAATCTGCGTTTACGTCAGAGCCTCGGATTCTCAAAAGTGGATCAGATTAAATACAAGCTTCATTAATCACTCTGCTAACTTCATTTTAATACTATATTTTAGTTTTGATGATGAAACATACATTTACAGCACCTTGTGAGGTGTCTGGACCTGCTGCGGTTTGTGCTTTATTACAGTTTGATGCTACAAACCAGGGAAGGGTTTTAAATGTTAGAAATGTCAAGCAGGAAAAAGTGATGAATTAAAAAAACCTGAAAACTCGTCAGTTTCTGGGGAAAAATAGCTGAAGCCCAGTCAAATCACATGGTCAGCATTTGTAAACATACATTGCTGCAAGTTAACTCATCACTATGCTTTGCTCTGAACTATTCCACTGCTGGTATGTTTGTGATTGTTGTATCTCTGTCCCAGTATCAGGTTTTCTGAATCCTGCACTGTGTCAAACCAACACAAATCGTTCGAAAAACCTGTTCTACCTCTCGCCTGCGGTGGCGCTGCACTAAGAACCACTGAAGGTAACGACACAAAAACCTCTGAAGAAGACAACTTTCTTCTTTACGAAATGTAAACCAAAATGGTTGTAGAATCTCTCTTTTGCCATTTCTCCTGCTAGAGCATTTGTTTTAGTCATGTTTACCCACAATCCCCTGTGCCATTGGCCATCCTCTGCTTTTGGAGCGGTCTCAACAATATTATCGCTTATCTCAAAAACCTCTGGGACAACTTCTAGACGAGCAAATACCTTTTCATAAACAAGTGAAACAATCTAGTGCGACCTGTAAGATGACAGTTATTACAATACGTAAAATGATCCTTTGAATTCATCTTTAGGAAAATAAAAAACAAGACGTCACCTTGGCCCTGGACACCAAGACCCATTAGTTTTCTTCTTCTTTCCTCCTGAACTCCTGCCATGTTGGTGTCAGGGCGTGGTGTCCCCGCGGTGCATGGAGGCTCGTCCCCACGCACTCTGCCCGACTCCCCCGGACCCTCCCCCAACGTGGTCCTTGTCCGACTCCGGCTGGCTCTGGGCTCGCTCCGGTTTGGGGTTGGGCGCACACGGCGGATCGGGCTGCTGGACTGACATCGTCCTCCGCAGGTGGGTGCGCTTGCACAGGAAGTCGGGCTTGGCGGAGAGGCCGAACGAGCCTTTCCTCAGCACCATGCGGACGGACGGGGACTTCTTGGGCCGCGCTCTGTGTCCAAACTGCAGCGTGGAGAGGTGGGCTGCGTAACCCTCGCTCAGGAACTGGAACGAGACAGGAGGAGTGAAATGGGTCGGATGGGAAGTAAATGAGCAAAAAACGTGGAGAAAATTGAAGTGGTTGGAGGGGAACTGCTGGAATGAAACACCGCTATGAGTCCAAACGACCCTCCTGCTACCTGGCATTGATTCTGGTACTTCTTCGAAGGTCTGCCCACGATGTAAATCTGTGAGGGGCTGAGGCCCAACATGTTGTAAACAGAGATGTCCTTCATGGAGCCATAAGCAGAGTTTATCTTGATGTGACACTGGTCAAAGGGAGAAAAGGAAAACAATCATCATCGGCTTGCGGATGCGTTTGGCATTCCAGCTGTAGCAGAAAGACACAGAGTCTGTGATTCTCACTTCCTGTATGAGGTTTTTAAGGAAGATGGTCTTCTGTCGCAGGGGATCGTGAACCAAGCCTTCAGAGAAGAAGATCATCCCGTGCGGGAAATTGTGCTGCGAGAGCCAAGACACGACGCGCTGCTTCTGCATGTCAGGCCGACCGGTGATGTAGATGATTAGATACCCGAGGTCCTGCCAGTGCCTGCAAGAAAAACACACGGCATCAAATAGGAACAGTTTATTTTTTTCATCCAACAGTCTCTCAAGGAGTTGTGCAGAGAGATATGGTAAAAAAAAAAAAGTTAACTTTTGAGCAAATCTGGGTTTATATTTTCTTCCCTCTGAATTTTTTCCTCTAACAGCTTAAAAGCAGAACAACACAAACTGTAGCATAGAAGTGGAAGGAACTTTGGACACATTCAACAGATGCATTATTCACACCGATTCCCATTCACTCTAACACACCTAGACATTTTCCATAACAATCAAATCCAACCAGTTGACTTTAGCAGACACCTCACTGTCAAACAGTCACCCTGTGTGAAGTTTAGAAATATAAATCCATCTGTTCTCTGTATAGTAGAGCACTCTTTTATTCAACGGTCTTCTCTTTTAAATAAGAAAATAAACATTTTATTGCCTAAAATACAATAACACAGCATCCCTTTAGTGAATGATTGGTCATTTGTAGCAAACGATGCATTTGAAGCTCAACAAAAACTTCTAACAGCAAATGGCTTTGGCGACTGCATTATTCAAGTTAACGATTAATCACAAAATTAATTTGTTGATTATTTCTATCATAGTTTCATCGCAATTAATTGTTTCAACTTTTAAAAAGTACAGTAATCTTTTCGATTGAATATTTGTTGCAAGACCTTTTCTGAGCTACATCCAATCAGAACAGGTTAAAGCTAGTGTAAAAGGGGCGGGGCTTATCTCAAAACCATATTTTCTTTTGCCAGTTATCTCCTATTTTTATTAGTATATCATACAAATCCCCTGCCCCCCAAAAAACACATTAAAAGTTATCTAAAAAAAAGAAGAAAAAGCTCCAGGGGTGTTAATATTCTTGTAAAGCACTTCTAGAGTCACTTACCTGATTTTACTGATTTTAAAGATCTAAAAACATTTGGCTGAATTTGCAGTTTGAGCAAAAAAACAAGGTGTGATGTCAGAGCATTAGAGAGTAAAGTGTCACAGCATAATGGAAACAGTCACAGTGATAGCTGTGTCATCCAAGCATCACACACACTCCGGTCTCTGCACACACATCACACACACTCTGGTCTCTGAACACACATCACACACACTCTGGTCTCTGCACACACGTGTCTGTCAGCAGAATCTGAGAGACACGTCTGAGGGCGAACTTGCTCGATTGCCAGATGAAGTTCAAACTCCTCTAAATGCTCAATGAGTTTGTTTGTTATTCTGGGAAATCAAAAGTAGCTTTAGCAAAACGAAACATAAACGTGTAGTTGGAGAAATGTGTGCTCCATCCACACTCCACTCTCATATGTATCGACTTTAGTGTCACATTGATGAAGCTACAAAAGAGTCGAGTTGGATTTTACCTGGGTCTGAGTCATTTGAGGCAAAAACAAAGGCACTTCCGTGGACATGTAGGGGTTAAAGGTGAGAAAATATCAGCCTAGTGCAACGCCTCAGCTTGTTCAGTCAAGGCATCAAATTACAAAGTAAAATTTTGTGTCAGTCATTTTTGATACAACAGTTTTATATCAAATGAAGGTCACACTCTAACCTGATGGTGCTATACAATAACACTATGTGCCTGGAAAATACATAATACTGCTGCTTTGTTAACTCCTGATCTGCGTCTGTTTGACGTAGGTTCAGAGTTGGACAACACAATGGACACATAAAATTACTGATATTGTGATATTGGTTTAATATTTACAATGATACAAATATCCGACCTCATTCTATTTATTTATTTATGCTTTGGAACTTTGATGCCACTTCCTACTTCCTCTACCAATTGAAATCTCCACTTGCAACTTGCTGAAGTTGCATTCATAATGTTTGAAGACTAGCATCAGTCTATGATTAAATCAAATTTTGGGTCATTTGAACTGATTTTTGATTAAAAATGTAAAACAGAATTTGGGACTCGATTCTGGATTTTGACTTTGGACTCACCTTGAGACTCTCATGTCTTTATGTGTGACTTTGAAACAGAGTAAACATGGGAGTTGGAGGACTTCCTCCCGCCTTTACTGATAATGACACACACACACACACACACACACACACACACACACACACACACACACACACACACACACACACACACACACACACACACACACACACACACACACACACACACACATCTGGTGCTTGTGCTTGCGTTACCTGACAACATCGACGGCTCCGGGCCGGACTTTGGGGTCGCTCCCCATAATGGACACGCTGGCAGCAAAAGACCCGTCGATGCTGAACACCACACACTCCATGCCCCGCGGCAACACGGTCAGGTAGGCCTCAGCGCTGCTCTGGTCGCCTCTTTGGGTCAGAAAAAAGGAAATGTCACACCCACCTGTGACTGTGGCTTTGCACTTCGCCATTTTAAATGTTAGTCGACTATCAGGCTGCTTACTTGACCACCATTTTTACTGGATACACTCCCAAGCTGAGCTTCTTGCTTTTGGGAATGGTGTACGTGACCCTGCCACTGCTGTTGGTCACCTCCATGTCAAAGTGCACCCAGCGGCCAGACTGAGGCTGAGTCATCACCAGGATGTCGACCTGAGGTTTGTCACGTAATTAGACGGTTAGAATATGTTGCACTCAATTAGCTGTGCCTTTGGGTTTTTTGCCTTTGTTTTTTTACCTTTTCTCCGGTTAGAGTAACCATGTCCAAGGGTCCGTACATGAAGCGGCCCACTAACGTCTGAGGTCCGTCCTCTGTTGCTATGACATCGTTCACCCTGTGGTTAGCGGTGACGTTCTGTTGTTTATACGGAAAACAATAAATAAACATTGAGTTTTAGATAAATCTGCCCAAAAAAATTTAAATTAATAAATAAATGAAAAATACGAGCAGTAGCAAAGTTTAAAAAGAAACAAAACAGGAACACTTTCCCACGGCAAAGTGGAGAATGCTACTTTTGGAGAAATCATTGTTATATTTCACTTTTTAAATTCATCCAAAAAAGCAGGTAAAACACACAAAAGGAAATGAGATATTTTCCCTGCTCCTGTGTTTATTCTCAAGTTTCAATCTCATTAACTTTTTAAGTCTTGTTGTCTGGACAGTCCAGAGCAGCAGGATGTCTCCTTTTGAACTTTTCTTCTTCTTTGACTTCACTTCAAAGGAGCCAACCAGCAGAGAAACACTGATCCTTAAATCTGATTTCACTAAGACGGCTGCATTTTATCACCCAGTAATGAGAACATTAATCTATAATTTACTAACTCACTGGTGCTCCTGCATGACATAAATTCTGGCCTTACAACCAACTCTGTTGAGATCTTTATAACCTTCACTTTATCATATAGTCACTATGAAGGCATTTTACTCATGCATGCTGTTTTGGTCTCAAACTGAATTTCCCCAGAGAGAAAACGGGGGCAAAAACTAACAAAGAGCAGAAAGAGCATCAGGCCGTCCGGGCTGAGGAATCACATTTTGTTTTCTATGCCAGCCGGACCCGAGGACGTAGTTTAGTTACCGTTTCAGCAGATTTCTCAGCTGTGTTCTCGTAATTAATTGTGTAAGGCTTCTCATAAAAACACTAAATGTAAAAGGATTTATTGCCATGCAAGATATGAAACTGCAGAAGACAAATTAAGTGCAACCCATAATCAAAGTCATAATTTTGTTATAACTTTTCATTATAACTAAAGTCTTATAACAAGAAGAAAAACACTTATGCTGTCTTCACAAGTCATAATCAGAAACTTGTAACAACCTTGCATCTTGTTGAAATGAAACTTTGTTGTAACGAGATAGAAAATGTCTAGTTTCAACGAGAAAGTTTCTCCTTTTAACAAGGTTTGTGTGTTATTAAAATGAGATATATAAATCATCTCACTACAACAAGAAAACCTCTTGTCATGACAAGAAAACTTCTCGTCTTAACGAGTCTTGCATCTCGGTTTAACGAGAAAGTTTCTCATTAAAACTACGTTTTTTTAGTCTCTGTAACAACGACGTTTCTCGTTTCAATGAATTTTGCATGTAGTTGAAACTAGAAAACCTTCTCGTTATGATGAGAAACTGCTCCCGCATTTATTTCCAAGCTCTGGAAGATGAACACTTCCGTACTTAAGTGGGTCCAACAGGAAGTGTGTTCCTCATCTCAGCTCCCTTCAGGAAGAAACACTTTTAAAATCCAGATGTTTCCCAGAACGGGACTCTGCAGATCAACAACTCTACAGAAAATTTACAGAACGAGAGAGAAGCAACTTCTTTCAAACATCTAACATATTAGTTTATTTCTTGAATGTGTAATTGAAAGTAGCAACCAAATGTAATCTTTTTTTAGTTCATCGTGGATTAACGGCAAGACTCGCTGAATTTTGTTTTTAAAAAAATCCCTTGTATTATTACCACTGGAATTACCACGTCAAAAGCCACACAGCAAAGCCCTCATGAGATCCGTGGTGTTTGTGTTGAACTTCACTGTGTCATTAAACCAGCTAATGCAGACTGATCGAAAGCAAGTATCACCTCACAAACAAGCTCAGCGTTACCAGCCGCTCCTCACCATTAGCTCCATCAGCAGCTAATTGCTTGACAGCGGGAGCTCTCTCTGGGACGCTGTGACAGCAAACATGGGAGATGAAAAAACAAAGAAACCTCAGCTGAATGCAGATGTGAGCCATGAAAACGCAGGCAAAGTTCAACACCTGGTCACATTTATATCAGATGGTCCAGCTTCGCTGTGAGGTTGCAGGTGATGACAACCCAAACAAGCAGCAGGCGTCTCAGGGCGACGCTCCACTAACAGAAAGACAGAGCTGTGAAGAAGCAACACGATGGAAGATGCACATCTATTCCCCTCCAGCAGTGACATAAACATCCGAGGTTACTTGACCGGGCAAGTAACCTCGGATGTTTATGTCGAGTGTCTCTGAAGCAGCGGATATGTTGGCAGACTGATCCGGGAGAAGCTGCTGAACATCACACTGCACTCACCGTGAATCAACAGGCCAGAAAAAGCTCATTTAGAGGAGCTGAACAAAAAAATAAAGAAAAAAATAAATAAAGAAAAAGCCTTCAAACTCAAATATAGCACCGTTTCCCATAATCCGCTGAAAAAAGAAAGGTTTATTTTTAGCCATCTGAAAAGAAAGGAAAAAAGAAAACCTTCACTCACTCCTCCAATTAAAAGTCCGACCTTGGTCGTTCTGCTCGACGAGTCTCGGGTGAATCGTGTGACTATCTGATTCAGAGCTTCAAGGTGAAGCTGTGGGAAAGTTTTCAGAATTTCAAGTCACACAGTTAAGCGAACACAATTGCGCCGTCCGTGAGAACTTTATTTTGAGACCCGAGTGAATGAAAAGGCATTGTGGGACACGGATCCACAGAGGAGATAAAAATACAGCTTTTTAAAAAAAGCCTTTCTTCACTGAAGGAGAATCAGAATAAGTTCAAATTTAACTGCAGCAGTGCTGAGAGCTAAGGAGAGCATTTTAATACCAGTAACCATCTGTCTTTCCAGTAAACAGAGAAGGGTAGTAACAATCTGATATTTAGGTTGATATTTCTATCCAGCACCGATTGTAACCCACACACAAATCCAGCGGTTAATAATAAATAAGTGAACTGTTCACATACGTGTTGTTGTTTTTCTCTGAGTAATTTCAATTTGTCAAGCCATTTCTAACATTCCACACAACAAAATGAATAATAAAAGCACCAATGATTCATGCTGATATTGTATCGGGTCAGTATCTGTATCGCCCAATACTCAAAGCGGTGATATCGGCATCGTATCAGATGTGAAAAAGTTGCATTGAGACATCATGATGCAAATACGTTTGTGTGGGAAAACCCACCCTTAGCTTGACATGCGTCCTCCGCCGGAGCCATTTCTCACGTGGGCTGGAAGGAGAAAACGGAGCCGAGTCCAGGTGGTCTGCTTCCTGCGTCCGCACGCAGTCGCACCGCATGAGCTGTCAACAAACATCCAGTTATTAGAACAGCTCATTTCCCCCAAAAAATCTGTCAATAATCATTTGACAGATAATTATTGACAGATTTTGGATTCACCAAAGACAGTTGAGTTATATTTTAGTCTTCTAATCTTGCTCAGTTGTGCTCATTTGTTCAATAAGAAGCCAGCACACATTTTCTTCATTTATTTGTAGATGCTGTGATTTTAAAGTCCCTTGAAGTGGCAATGAAAATAGAAAAGGGTATTTCAGCTCATTTGTTTTATTAGTTTCTTCAGACTCAGATGTTTTCTGCCAGGATAATGTTTCGTAACATTTTTTGGACAATTTGTGAAAACCTGTCGCAGTAAGATCAGTTTATCAGTAAACTACTATGAGAAGTTAATTGTAGATTACTCAAAACATCTTGATCAAATTTCTACATGATAAAAAGGCTGTTTATCAAACACGAACAAAGTGGATCTTTGGAATTTTAAGTAATGCAAAAAAAAAAAACAACAAAAAACAACTTTTTTTATTATTCTGGTATTTAGCAAACAGAAATATTTCAGATAATACACTTTTAACTTCAACAAGTAAAAAATAGTCTAATTTATGTCAGACTAAAAAAAACCCAAATACATAAAATACACATTTATTCCCTCAAACCTACAGAAAACTGGAGTTTGTGTATCAGCAATGACTTAGAAAAACACTGTGGCGACATTGTTGTGAGAGGCTTTGTGAGCTGAAGCCTTGAAACTTCATTTGCAGTTTGAGTCCTGTAAATCTCTGCGCTAATGGAGAGAGCAGCAGCAGCACAGATTAAGTGCTAAGAGGGGATTTCATAAAAAGTCGTCAGATGAAAGAAGCCCTGGATGTAATTTCTGACTCACTTGAAACTTGAGATGCTCTCAGTCTAAACACATTTCCAGAAATTTGTCAAACTTAAAAAAAAGGAAGAAAAAAAGGTGCATTAATAAGCTTGATTGCGGGAAATGGCTTTCTGCTCTTATCGGCAATATGACAAAACATAAAGTGAAACTGACAGCTAAATGATTCGCTTTTGAAGAGAGACATTTATCCCACTCCTGGTCCAATCGCGCTCTCTCTCCCTTTCTCTCTCTCTCTCTCTTTCTACATATATATATATATATATCTATATATATATATATATTTGAGAATAGGTGACATGTCAGAGCTGACAGTGAAAGAAAATAGAGCCTGTCCGTTCCAAGCAGAAAAATGCAGCTATCTGCCGTTTTGTTTACCTCTTCATCTGGTGAAGCTCCTTTCAGGTAACAAAGGACCCAAAGATCGTCTGAACCAAGACGGGCTTAAAATTTCTGATTCTTGCAGCCAGAACATAATTACATGCCACATTTTTATGTGCTTTTATTAATAATAAAGAAACAAAGAAAACAACAAATCGATTTTCTTCCACGAACCAACGAACAAAGCTTCCCCAAGTCTAAGATTTGACTTGAAATTGAAAAGAATCAACTGGGTACAGTTGGATAAAATGTTTACATTTTATCATTTGTTTGCAAATCACATAACCTAAAACTGAACCCTTTACTTTTGGCAAAGGTAAAAAAAAGAAGAAAAATCAGTCATCCACTATGAAGTACTGACTTGCTTTCATTCAGTCGCCGCTGTCCTTCAGGTCATACTGTAAACACGATGTTTCATATAAAATACATGCAAAATGAAGTATTTTGCTCCGATGTTCCAAACTATCAATATCAGCTGCAAAGAGCATTACTTTGGATGAGAAGTAAAAATGTTGTAGAAAAATATTCCTCACAGCCTTTGGGGTGCAAACAAAAATAAAGAGTGAAGCAGCAGAACCTAACATTTCTGGATACTTTTTTCCCATCAGATCAACCTTGTTGTGATTTACCAATTAAAGGTGAGCATATATTCCCACTCCAATACATCATAACACAACTGGCCGAGTTCAAATGAGCTAATCTAATTTTCAGTTCCATAATTTAAGTGGTTTTCTTCCCATTAATGTTTCATTGTATTAAGAGATTCTGTAATATTAAACTTTCCTTTTTATGTAACTGGAGATTTATTTATGACCACTGCTTCTATGAAATGATGTCCACCAGATTAATAACAGGATCACACAAACAGAGCCAGATCCGTTCACTTAGCTGTTGTTTTCGGACAGTGTTCTCCGTTTCTTCTCCGTCTTACTGTAAATATGTTCTGCACGGCTTTGATGTACTTAAACTAACATCGTCTAGTACGCAATCAATCGCCCGGCCTTCTGTCCCTGGCACCACGTTATCGTTTTGAATGAGATAGATGAAGCTCTGCGCTCTCAAGGGAAGATGATTAATTGCAGATTTCGGTGTTTGATAACAGTCAGGATGTTCTGTGTGCATCTAAAGTGATCCTACAACACTAGAGAAAAAAAAAAAAAAACAGAAAAGCTGAAAACTTAAGATCACAGCAAAGTGGTTGCTTTTTTTTTTTTTTTTTTTTACTTTCAAGTGTTTTTTTGGATTCATGACTACTTTTTGTTTCGAGATGTGAAGAAGTTTCACTTTATGGTTACATTAAATATATATAAATTAAATATAAATATATCCTTCATTCTTTTCTGCAGCAGCATTATTACAATGTTTTTGCACATCAGTTTGTGTGACAGAAGACTGGTGATGCTTTATTAATGCGACACAAAACACTTTTTTTTCTCAAGGTTTTCTCATTAAATTGCAGAAGTTTCAGAAATGAAAAATACCCCCATGGATTCCTCTGGTATTTTTGTTATAATATCACACAATGACAGCAGTTATTTAAAAGCCTTAGTGAATATGTTTGACAGTTTTAATTGCCGAATAATTAGTTTGAAAAAGATAATAGACTGATTGGTGCATAATTGCTGCCTCACACAAGCAACCTTTTCAATTTTTTAGATTTTGTAATTGGTAAAATTACTATTGGCAATTTTCCCTCCCTAAAATCAAGAACACAGGAAATCAACATGCAGAGCAGCAATTGCTGCATGATTTTTAGTCTTCTACCAGCAACTGGCTGTCGTTAGTGTTTTAGCTCTGCTTCATTTCATGGTTAATTAAATTTTTCTCTCTTTTTTGGGGGGGAATTAATATATCTCAATTTCTGTAAAACATAAAAATAAAGAAAAAAAAAGGCTCTGCTACCTGACGGAGAACAAACGCAGCAACGTCGGTGGACTCCCAGTAGGAGGCGTGAAAGAGATGGGGCAGAGCTACTGTGGGGAAGGCGGTGAGCACGTCGGGGCAGTACAAAGCGAAGTCCAGCCTCTTGGAGCCCCACCAGCTGCTGGAAACTGAGACCAGAACACACAGCATGCGTTAAAAGACGCGCCGGGTTCTGGGCTGCTGTACGGCTCCGTTTGCCTCCCACTCACTGTTAGCGATGGTGTTCCCCAGTTGGTTCATGGAGCACAATGACATTTCGCTTTCCACGCTGGTCACGCTGCCTCTATGACCTCTCGCCTCGCCGCCTCCTTCTCCTCCTCCGTCCGTCTTCGTCTCACAGGAATGCGGTGAAGCTGGACCGCCGTGGGATTTGTCACCTTCCAGAAACACACCCGGGTTGCTTTGGATGCTTTCTGCTGTAGGTGGAAAACAGAAAGAGAGGACAAGTGGGAAAAGAAGAAGAAGAAAATACCTTAATGACAAAGCAAATCAGATAGGGTCATGATTCTCCAATACTTTATAAGATCATAATGAATCCAAATTAAGACTTACAACAATGATGTACTAAAGAAACATAGGGGACCAAAACTGTGACATGGCAGAGAACTATCTGTTAGCTGGAGATGGCTGGCTAGAGATCCGCCATCTCTAGCCAGCCAGAGATAGTTAGCAAGTACTAGCAGATTCTTACCTTTAAATTAAATTTCACAAAGCTCCCACTTATCCTGTACTAAATCATTTAATGGTCTTTCAAATGACCATGAAATGGTCATTTTACGTTTTCTTTGAATAACATATTTCTCCTAAGTTGTAATTGTTTAGGTTGGAATATTTTTCTCAAACATAGCTCTTTAGAAACATGATGATGAATATGGGTAAATAAGCCCCGTCTTCACAGACAAAGTGTTGAGGCTGATATTCTCCATTTCACAAAAACGCAGTCCTTCTTTAAAGAAGGATATCTCTAATAAAGGTGGGCAGACAGATCCAAAATATCAATAATATTGATACCAGGTTGGTATCAGTATTGGATCTATATGAGCATGGTATTGATACTTTATTCCCTCTTGAAATGTTATCTTATTTTTGCATTTTAAGTTCTTAACTCTACTTTAAAATTATAGAGTATTGCACACCTCCTATCTCTCCAATTCAGCAAGTTGAAAATAATAAAACAAGACGGTAAGACATTTCGTCTCTGCGATACATCCAAGTTACATCTTATTTGTCAGTTATTGAACAAAAAACCTTGAAAATTAACAGGTGCCCCACACTACATAAAGAATTATTAAAATATAGAATAGTTTCTCGAGGCACAGCCTACATCAAACCTTATGTAGGGGAAGATTTCCTGTGAAGACGGTTTCACCTCCCCTTCAGCTTCAACTTTCAGAAAAATGTCTTTCATCGACTGTCAAGAGCTTTCGATACGAATGTTCAGAGCCAAACTGCTGCACATTTGTAGCACCGGCTCTGCGTTGTGACCGTGACATTAAAGTGCAAGCTGATCTGGAGCTACTTTTATTTAATAAACGTTACACGTGGCAGAAAAATAACACTGCAGATCATCCTGAACACACAGCTTCTACAGTGAGACATGGCGGCGATGCTTTCTGTCAGCAGGGACAGAAAAGCTGCTTAATGAGAAGACGGATGGAGATAAATCCAGGTCTCTTCAGTGGGGGACTCAAAATGCACAGCAGAGCTGCAGCACTCTGGTATACATCAGATAAATTGAATATGTTTAGATGGCCCAGTCAAAGTCAAGACTAAATACCTATTAGACAACTTGTAGTGTTCCCCGTCCAATCTGAATAGTTTGTGTGCATTACAGTCTCTAGACTGCCAGAGACACACCCTTATTATTATCAATTATTTGCTTTTTTGTGTTGGCCAAACATCTAAAGTCTCAATGAAACACTGAGGATTCTTGTGAAGAAGCAGCTGAAACACCTTGAGCCCTCACAGCCATTCACACCTTTAAATCTGTCAACTAAAACAGTTTTGGAAACCGTTCGACAAACGACGACGACAGAGACAAAGCGGATCAGTCGGTCCTAAGCGATTGTTGTAAGTTGTAAAGACAGGAGGAGGGGCTAAGTGCTGTCAATCAGCTAATTCTCCATTAGCAAGGTCACTGATGATGAGCTTTCCTGTGGTGCCACGTTGGTTCTCCGTCGTTAGCACAGCTGGAGTGCATGCACAACGATGACAGTGCTGATACCCTCCTCGCTCTGATTGGTTGTTTCTCACTGACTTCTGGACGTCTGCAGATGGCAGTAGGACCACAGAGTTAGATTAGTTAGATTTTTTCCCCACAGATTGTCTGTGCCATAAATACTATCACAACATGGTGACAATTTTTAGAAAGTTACTTGTGTTTCTGTAGACGTTTACCTGCTGCAGCTCCTGTTTTATACGGTGCTGTATTAGTCACATGGCGTAATGTTTTCTTTTTCTTTTTTTTTTCCTTCCTAATTTTTTTCCCAGGAGCCACAAGCTTTCACAGACACTTTGATCTGTTCAGGTCTCAGCAGAGTGACAACAGGTCATGGATGTCAAGAACGAATGAATCAAACTTCGCTTTCTAACCAGTTCTTTTGTCTACTGATTGACCTCCCACATGACAGGATGAACATATGATTTAAAACTAGAGTTCAAACTAAATTCAATACTGATCTGACCTTCAACCTCACACCAGTAGAAACACAAAACAAATAAAAAAACCTGTTTCTATTTGTTCTCTTGTTTTATTCTGAAGGAGCTCTGGAAGAGTTTCTTCTTTTCTTCTCCTTGAATCCCAAAATGTCTCTGATGTTTGAGATCTCTAATCAACCCGAGCTGAATCTCTTCAAACAGCAGGACGATGAGAGCTCGTCTGGGGACGTGCTGTTGACCAACCTGCTATCTCACAATATCATTGTCATAGAAAATGTACTTTGATCGCATTCTTCTAAGGTAGTGTACAATTCAGGCTCTCTTACAGAGCGCTAGGTCCTCTAGAAGAAATTTTGAGCTTCAAACAAAAGCCGTGTATTGCATTTCATGAGACAGATCTGATTTTCGTCATGTAAACAGAATTTCATATGTTGTTTAGGTGTTGGGGCAGAGAGATACATTCATTTAAAGTCAGGACCAAATCACAGAGTCTTTACACTTGGGAAAGTGATTATTGAATCCTAATTAAGTAAATAAATGAGCAAATGAAGAAAAACCCCAGAAAGATTTACAAAACGACTTAAACCAGCAAACTAAACTCAAAAGCTAATGTCAATGATTGATCTTTTTATGAGGTCTTAAGTCTGTGCATTTGATTATCATTAATCTACTGCTACAAAAAAACCTGTTGACAATATTTTATCACTCTCTCAGCTTGTTTTTGCTAATCCTTGATGTCTGTCAGATTGTCTCATCCTCCACATGTAAATGTTTGTTACTTGTATTCTTAATATCTAATAACTGTTTCTGAATTTACACTATTTATTTACTAAATTGTCTATACTCGACTGACATTGATCTCCTTTTTTTATTTATACGTTTTTGGATTTTATTTGGCTGCTTGCTCTGTGATAAACACAAGCATCATATTTCTTCATAAAGCATTGAAATGATCAATTATTTGTCCCTTTTATTAAGTCTTCTTGAGGCCCAAACAATCCTCAATAATAAATATCTTTATGAAAACCTCACATTTCTGTTTCACACTGGTGATTTTTCCCCCTCAGTTATTTACTTTAAATTTATCCTAACATAAAAATTTGTCCCAGATAAACACCAGAAGCATTCTCCTTCATATAGTTTGTTAAACTTAACTGTTGATCTCATCGGCAACCAAAAGAAACAAGAAGATAAATCCAGCCCTACGTGTTGTGAACGCTTCTCTTCATTTCAACATCAGTTTACTGGGACGTGTTGAAGTGGATAACAGGGTGACGAGGGAAGTGGAAACCTGGGTTAGTATGTTGATGTGATGTCGTGCGCCTGCTTTCTAATAAGAGCGATCACGTCTAAATCAGCCTTTCTTCCTCTTATTCGAAAGGATTCATCTGCGTCTGTGGAAAGAATAGATTCCCCTCAGTTTCCCCCCGACACGACTTTCTAATCACATCACATTTGTTCCCGCGGAACAGAAAGATCGTCGTTACGTGAATTATCTCCGCAGAAAGAAGCCGAGTGAGGCAGCCAGCCGTCAACCTCTGCGTCTGGGAATGAAGGCTAACACGCTGGTCAGCTCTCTGATTGGAAGGTTAGTAAAAAATAATCATAATAATAAAAAAGAATAGACATCCAAGGGTTGCAGCAATGTGTGTGTGTTGGGTTTGTGGAGAATGAGCCACAGCAGGGGAATACAAATGGACTCCGGCTCCGACAGGCGTGAGAGAGAATCAGACGTGGTTAACAAATCCCCTACAGTCAAGGCAGAGAGCAAATTTATTTATTTGGGATTTTTTTGCCTGTTTTTTCTGGGTTGTTAGTTGGAAAGAGAAAAAGATTTTCTGTTCTTTGAATTATATTTTTGTATCTAAGTTGTTTTGTTGTAAAGTAAAAACAAAAATATACGTTTGTTGAGTTTCCTGTTTGCGTTTACTCAAACTGCCATTCCTACACATTTTAGGCCCAAAATCAGTTTGTTTGTTTTTGTTTTGTTTATTTTTTGACTCAAATTTCCAGAGTCCCAGGTGAAACTGTAAATGAAAGAAAAAAGTAAAATAAGTAATTAATGGAAGATATTTCTACAGCAGTCAGGGTTAGATGGACAAACAGATGGATGGTTTTGGTGGACAAAGTGACACTTTGGGCAAACAAATAATTATTTTATGTATTTATCCAGACTTGTAAGAGACTATTTTAAAATCATATTTCATACTTTTCCAGACTTTGTTGGAGAATCAAAACTAATTTCAAATTCCGATAGTTTAAGATTTTGCTATTGACATCAATGTGTTAAACATCTAACAGGAAGCCTTATTAAAATGTGCACATTTATTTTCCTTTTATTTCCCCGCCACACAATGAGTTGAGAGAAACGGGGAAGATTACTCTGGCACTGATTGAGAAACGGAAAAAAAAAGTGGGGGAGAGGAAGAAAAAGGCCGCTGACGTATTTAGTAAAAACACACAGAAATTCAAATGATTTCTGCTGTCAGTGTTTTGGAGAAGACGAGGCTCACATGGTGACAAGACGCAAAGCACAAAGGAGAGAGAAAAAGAAGAAAGTCCTCTCTCAAGGCAGAGCGACTGAAACGACAGTAATAAGGATTCATGTGTGTGGAAGTGATTGTGAGGGAACATTTTTGACAGAGTGAGGGAGGAAGAAAAAAAAACACAAACAGGATCCTCTCAGCTTCCACATCTATTAATGACAAGAAAAAGAAATACATGTAACCTTTACTCTAAAACTCAAATATCCAAACAATCGTCACTGATGCCGTGTGTGTAGCATGTCATGTTTCCTTCTGGCCTAACAGTTTAAAATCGATATCAGACGTCTCCTCCTCTGCGTATCAGCAGCAATCATCATAATAATCGCTGCACAGTCGACAGTAACTCATGTCAAAGTCGTTCCTGATTGGCATGCCATGCCTTCATGAGCGCTAATTGCTATATTACAGAACAGGAAACGGGTGGTGCGTGCCACGGTTTCCTCAGCACGGCTGCACCTGCCCATTGTTGTTGTTTTTTTTATTTATTTCCACACGTAAAGTCGACAGCGGCATGCGGCTGATCAATGGGAACGAGCCGGGGACCTATAATTAAAACCTGGCACAGCTGCCAGTCAATCCTCTGGCTGCTGTTTACGCTCCGTAACCTCTGTCTGCAGCGCCGTCACGCACGGTGTCGTGTGATTGGCTGAGCAAAGAAGCAATTAATATAATAGGGAGGGGAAAAAAAAGAACATCTTTGGCATCCAAATTAAGCAGGTGAAAGCAGGAATGTGTCAGATAGTTTGTATGCAGGCTCCACTGGCAGTAAGAAAAAAAAAAAAGCAATCATTGCACATGGGACTTGTGCTTTTTAAGCAACATCTGCCGTGTCAAACATCTACAGACTGATGGAATCATTGTTGCTGCATTAGTGAGTAATTAAACCAGATTTAGAGATAGAAAGTCAAGCAGGCTGATCGTTAAGGGAACAAACTGTAGCAGCACAAAGAATAAAACGTCATCAGAAACAAACCTAAACAACTAATCATTAACTTGATATAAAGGCTGATAAAAAGTTAAAGTCAGGGCGGAAATTAAGGCAGAACTGTCCAAAAGATATGTTTTTATATTTGAACTTAAGATAAAAAAAGAATATAACTCCTAAAGAGACATAGTTTTGTGTTTCTGTAAACAACAACAACAAAAAGAAATAAAACTTCCATTTAGCACATTTCGCTAACCTATTATGAATCAGTTAACTCAAAATTAATGGACAGACAATCCCTACAATTGCTTTGATAAGTCAAACAAAACGGTTGGAATTTTTCACATGTTGATGTTAGGAGGATTTAAAAAAAAAAAGATTTGCATCCTTTGCTACAAATCATCTAGTAATCACTAAAGTAATGGCATGTTGTTGCTTTTTATGCAATGAAAATGTATTTTTTTTAATTAACAAAAGGAAGTGGTTTGTTTATTTCCATCCTTTAATGTATAGTATTTCTAATATTATATTGAAAAAAACATTTAAGTGCTTAAATGAAAAATCTGCAGAATATGCCAAAAAAATATTTTTTGTATCCGATTAATTGATTAATCTGCGACTAAAATAATCATTTGTTGCAGCCCAGTTTGTATTGAATTACTTTACCTATATTTTTGTTGCGTTATTATATATATATATATATATATATATATATATATATATATATATATATATATATATATATTTTTTTTAGCAAAACATACAGATTTTACATTATTCATATTATTATTACTATTATCATTATTAAAACGCAGATGAAGCCACATCTGCGTGGCAATAGAAAAGCTGCTTGTGACAAACAAAGGACCCTAAGGGAGTTCTGGAGCGACAGAATCAGCCAAGTGGTGCTAATCAATCCTACTGATATCCAGAACAGCATCGGCACGGCCGCCTCTGTGAAAGCAGGAGTTTTCTCTGGTAGCTGGTTGCGTGTGTTGACACGATGCCAAGGTAAAAATACATCAGCAATAACCTTAGAGAAGGAACTGATGCTTTCTTTGCAGAGAAAAAATTATTTACAAGTGTGAAACATTAGGACAGCTGCCAATCTGTCCAGAAGAGGAAATGCAGGGAAATTCACCCGGACATCTGGCTGTCCAACGCTCAAGAGAAATTTAAACAGAAGAACAAAACAAACGGCCTCAACAGCTGTCACTTTGCCTGCTAACTGTTAAATGTGCATTCTTGAATAATTTGAAGAAGACTAAACAAGTTTTACTTGCTGAAAAGCCTTATTTCTGGAAATAATATGGCAGCAAATTATAGGTTCATGAAAATGCATCTCAATCGAGAATTCCAGAAAAAAACCACAGCAGAAATGTCTGACCCTGTTCCACTGCTGTTATACCCAATCAAACAGAGAATACGGCAGGAACAAAAACTGTGCTTTCTGCCATAGAAACATTTGTAATGTCAAAGGTTTTATTTTATACCATCTCTGGAGATTCACTGCATTGCAAAAATAAAATTAAGTATGGGTGAAAAGAAAACGAAATGTTTTCAATGTTGTATAATCTAAATAATCTGAGTTCTTGTGCACATGCAGCGGGTCTATGAAAACAAATAGAGTTTAAAAACGTAACATCATGTTGGATTGGATTCAGAAAAGTTCCATCCACATAAATCTGCACAAACCCACCCCTGAGCGTTGTGTTAAACATGCCAAACCCATAGGGGGCAGTGCAGCGCAAAGCTAAAACCTGACAGCTAATCACATTGCTTCAAAACAACCACAACTTCCTTTCAGGAGTTAAACATGGAGGCCCATTTGCATGGACAGATATGACTAGCGTATTAGAATATAAACTTATTCAGATAGAAAATGATGTTGACTGGGAATCATGTCAGTGCTGGTACATTGTTATATTAACGCACATTTTGTCTCATACTGTAATGGACTCTAAATATCTGTTTTACCATGTACACATTCACAAATATGGAGTTTCCTCAAATCTCCACTTTGGTCAGAGTTTTTATAAATCATTGTTTTTAGTGATATTAAACAGACAAAATGCAAAAAAAATCTGTTTTCCACAGAGATCGCTATGTGAGGACTGGGCCTAAAATGCTTTGTCAAGCACCTTTATTATCAGCATGCTAAGGAGCAGCATTTTATTTCAAAAATTACAAAGCCCTGTCCTCATAGACAGGACTTTGTTGGCTGCAGTCTGCTAGGATGAATTGTTGGACTCTGTCCTACTTTCTTCGTCTGTAGGTGTTTACAGAGGCAGGAGAAGAAGGTGATGCATCATATCTACTGTTTAAAGAGAGTCTCTGTGTCCCATAAGGGGGCTGAAACATCCTTCAAATAAATTTAGCAACTCATTAAGGACTGAGTCTGCACGGCTAAGTCTTTCAGGGAGATTACCGCAGCACTATTTCTTCTCTTACCTGGTCCTCACAGAGCAGCTGAAGGTGCCACACCCCGGCAAGATCAAGTATAATTACTTCAAACCTCTGGCTTTTCTGGCTCGAGGCTTGGATTTAGCTCTGCCTCTGCTGCACAAACAGACTAGAGATGGGATTAAGGCTGTGTGTGTCCTCCATCCATATTTGTGGATGTGTTTACCCGTCAAAAATTCCCATTAGGGTGTCATTAAATCCCTGCGGAGCTCAAATGAATTCCCCGACCAAGAGATTTTCTTAGTTTTCAACATCACTTTTGAAAGGTAAATAGCCAAAAAACATTTATCCCCTTGTGCAATCACGCAAGACGACAAGAATAAGAAGCGACATTTTCAAGTGACTCTTTCAGCATGAAATCCCAGGTCTTACCGATGAGCAGCGAGCGCCCATCTCCAAGAGGGTAGCGCTGGTAGCGCGGCACGGCGAACGGCGGCAGCTTGTGGAAAAGAGGCTGCAGCAGGGGCTCCAGCCTGGAGGCTGAAGGATCGGAGGGGTAAAACAGGTTGAAGATCTGGGAGCAGGCTGGGCGAAGCTGGCCCACTGCGGAAGGGAAACAGCAGAGAGCTATGGTAACAAGTGCAGGTTATCCGCAGTCAAATTTAAGACTTTTTAAGACCATCGTGATGCCAGCTTGATAGAAATGCTTATGATTGGCGGATCTTGTTGGCTCATACGGCCTGGCAAAACAAGCGAGCCACTGGCAAACACAAACATTGTCAACTCAACTGGTGATATATGCACCTGCGCTCGATAAACGCATAAAAGACAGTTGGCTGGCAAGGGTGTACTAGCAACTAGTTAACAAACCGCTGACTAGCTGCTAGCGCCATGTTATAACACAGACCTCACTGAAGACGAGCGCCTCAGATGTTTGCCACATAGAAAAGACCCGCAAAAAATAAACTGTATGAGATCATATACTACAGTCATCCCAAAATGTAAGGACATATGTAATAGACATATTTAGCCCAACCTACATTTTCTAAAAGAATTGAATTTTAGGTACATTAAGTTAAAGTTTTTTAAGGCTTTTTAAAGAGGACACGCTGAAGGCAGGTCATTTTAAACCTCTATCTCAAGTTTTTGACATCAACTTAGAGAGCAAGTCTGTTTCACTCTAAGGAAATGAAATTCAGTCTGTGTGTGGATGGATGGAAATACGTTTCATTCTCAATTTTGTTTCATTCTCTTTGTTTTTTAGTAGTGGAAAATATTTCAATCAAATTCTATCGCTTTCCAGACTGTAATAAACTCGGCAAACATCACACTGACAAATCAGATTTTGAAAATCTACTTCAGATATTTGCCCACCTAAAGTTCACTAACCGGCTTTCCAGAACAAAATGGGAACAATTCGGAATAAGAAAATCCTTCTGGTCTGCAAGGGAAAGTAGGACTCCCTTGCAGACAGAGAGTTTAAATGCACAGAGAGTTTAAATGAAAGCAGAATGTCATGGTTGTGGTTCTTACCGTGAATAGCGGGTAGCACGGTGCGTCTCATGGCCAACACCAGACCCAGAGGGCAGCCCAACAGGAAGCAGTCCGACACCTCAAAGTCGAACCGGCCTGGATTCAACACCAGACTGGTGCTGCTGCCACCGCGCACCTCGACACCCTCCTTCAGCAAACTGGACGATGGACAAAAACACACAAAAAAAAGAGAAGACAATTTTTCTGTAACCCAGGAAAATGTTTGTGTTGTTGATTTTCTATTCAACAACCAGAAATTTGTCCAAGATTAATCTGAAATGTTGAAAATCAATAAAGTCTATGCAGAATATTCAAATGAAATGTCTCTGCCTTGACTCGGACGAGTCAATAATCCTTTTACTTTGCCGCGACTCAGATGTTGGCGTGTTAGTTTTATGGTGCGGTAGTCGCTGTGAGCGCCGAGCCTTTATGACTCAGCCTTCACAAGCCGCTCCGCGCCAACAGCTGTTTAAACAGTCCAGCCGGTCACCGCCGCGTCGGCATGCCGGCCGGCTCCATCCCCGGCCTTTAGCAGCCGGCCAACATTTCCCCATTAAGTCCTGCATGTGGAGGGAGGATTAGCCAGTGGTCTCCAGCTATCTGTTGAAGCCAAATCAATGGCCCTTTGATTGCTTTCTGCAGCTATTTTGGCTTCTGAGTTTCTCATACCCACTTCTGCAGCCTGTTTACTTCTCTCTCTGTTATTTATTTATTTTTTTAACTGCAGTGGAACATTGTCGCTGTAAGAACCTTCTTTCAATTTTAGAGGAAGTAAATCCAATTCACTGCAGTATTTTCTTTTGGATAAACATGATGTGGACTATTATTGCAGCAGGTAAGGGAATCTTCTCCACTCCTGCCATTCACTGAAAATGCAAACTCATGTTTACACTTTAGTTTGTGTTCAGCTTACACTTTGGATTTCAGTATTTTTGAGGCCTTCTGTATGGAAGACTCCTGCTGTCAGGGAGGACAAGAAGTTTTTAACACCATCTCATAATAACATAATAATTATAGTGAACAAATACAATAAATATATTGCATAAACATGTGCAAAAATTATGTGCAATAATGTGTAACTGTGATAACTATATTATATGAACGTCATAATTTTATTGTAAAAATGTGATAATATATGAACATAACATATTATATATGTGATAATTACACTGTATGAACTTGATAATCTTATTGTAAAATGTGATATTATACAAACATAATAAACGTGATAATTATATGACAAAATCGAAAATAATAATAATAATAAAAAAATACATTTTACTGAGAGTTCTAAGACAAAAAACGCTGCCGACTAAAAAACAGAAGAAGAAGAAGAACACTGTGGCCCGTCTCACATTTACTAAACAGCATGATCTGTGGAGCATCAAGAGAAATGCTCCAGTTGTTGATTTGTTGAATAAAGCTCAAGCGAGGTTGGGTTCGACGGGTGAATGAAAGCCACAACATTTGACTTAGCTGATGTGGCGCACCATCAAACAAGTCAAAGGTGCGTGTAACCCGAGTGTAATTTTAAACCTTCAATTCCTCTGATTTTCTACTCTTTTGCCTTTTAGCCTCAAATCTCGCGATGTTTTAATAGTATTATGATTGATTCTCGCGAGATTATCGTTTAGCCAATCGCGGTTGAGTACTGGGGTCACATGTACCTTTCCAGTTTACCGGCTAGGTATATTAGCTCAAGCGAAAGGGCGTGAAGGGTAGAACGCGTTGGAAGGAGCAGAGCTGGCAGGAGCCCATTATTGTGAGCCGGAAAGTGAGATGAAAAAGATCCGGTAGTATGACACAAAACTGCGGAACTGGTGAGTGTTTTTGTGAATACTTAGCGTTGGCTTATAATCACTGCTGTTGTGTAGCCACTAAAGAAAAACTGATTGTAAACTCCTTTTGATAACCAAAACGGGTAATTGAAGTATTTATTGAACACTGGTTTATATTAGTATTTTACATTTCATGTTAATTGATAATATGGTGTATATTTATTGACTGTTTCATGAATGTAATTTATATTGAATTTTAGATTTAATGAAATTGCAATTGATGATTTTTGATCAAATGATGTTATTTATAACACAAAATGTTATTTATTGTGTGTATACACTAAATGTTAGATCGTATCAATATATATTGAGGAAGTGGTCCTGTTTTGTTATTCAGGCCAGGTGGATGGTGAGCTATGAGACCAGGCCTAGAGCCAAAGAAAGATTTCACCTGTTGGTGACAGAAGACTGCTTACTTCTCCTACCCAGCTGGTAGGAGAATCCTACAAAGAACTCTGTTCCTTCTTTGATTGGACTTTCAATTACCCAGGATGTGAACCACGCCCTGGATACTCCCCTTGTTTGCAAGCCTGATTAATCCCCATTCGGGGTGGATGGACTAAGGGGTTGTAAAATGAACTTTGGGAACGATTGATTAATTTGTTTTTTTTCCCCTTTGTTGTGTTTCTTCTTTTCTCCTCTGTTTTCCTTTTTATTTCATTGTTTTGTTTTTTTTTCCCTTGATGGCCATTTGCATATCCCAATGTTGTGGTTGTAAATATGTATATATGATATTCACATTGCAAATACAAAACACTCGCAGCTGCAAAACTCTAGCCTAACTGCTCTTTCGTGAGTCGTACCTATTCTTCTGAAAGGAAACTGGCCTATTATCTTGGTTAAAAGCCATTTATATTGAATAACAATTTAGATTGTCTTTTCAAATATGCTACATACATTAGTGGTGAGCTAGCCAGGAGCAGTTGTATAGAAGCTGGAGTGTTGCAGTTGCTAGTTGTTGCTAATATGGATGTTTTGGTGAAATGTGGTGTTAAAATACCTAACGCAGTGTTGATTAGACATGCAACGAACTCAGAGACTGATAATGAAGTGGCTGATTTTCTGACTGGATACGGGTCAATGGAAAAGTTTGAATTTATAACTGATTCTGACTCAGATTTCTATAACTGCATAATTTTTGAGTTTTCATCAGGGAGTGCGTTGGAGAGGCTGCGTAAAATCTTGCCTTACACGTATGTTTGCCAAACTAAAAAAATTACTTATGAAATTGAAGAGCTGTCAGTAGTTTGCTCCGAGTTAGAAACTAAAATAATAACTGAAACATACCTGAGTGAAATGAAAAATGTGGCTAAGCTTACAGGTCAGGATTACACAGATGTCTTCAGGCGTGTAATGTCTCTACTGGGCCAATCCATCACTGAACTTTGTCCAGTCCCATCTTCTTTGAAGACTTCCCCAGAAGAAGAGGATTTGGCCATGGCTGCTTCCCTTACATCAAAGATGGCAACCAAGGGTGGTTTTCATCTTAAGCCAGAAGATGTCGCTGCAGAGGATGGGAGTCGCCACATGTTCAACCTGATCCTACCGCACATTATACGTCACGTCCTTCTGGACCTTTGCCAGCCATGTCGTTGTCAGATATCAACCCACCTGGAGTCCAGAGGTATGTGGTTGAGCACATCATGAAAAGTGATGACAATGCAATACACATGTCCTCATTGAAACTTAGATCATTTTCTGGTCGAACTCCAAGACCACAACATGAAACAGACTATGAAACTTGGCGATCTAGTGTTGACCTTCTGTTAAAAGACCCTGTTGTATCAGAACTACAGCGTTCTAGAAGGATATTTGACAGTTTGTTACCACCAGCTGCAGACATGGTTAAACATCTTCAACCAGATGCTCCTCCTTTAATTTACCTCAGAATCTTGGATTCTGCCTATGGAACGGTCCAAGATGGCGATGAACTGTATGCAAAATTCATGGAGCAGTTTCAAGACGCAGGTGAAAAGCCATCCGTTTATTTACAACGCTTGCAAGTGACTCTAAACCATGCCTTACGGAGGGGTGGAGTATTGGCTGCTGATTTTGAAAAGCATCTGCTGAATCAATTCTGTCGTGGATGTTGGGATAACACCTTAATTTCTGAGCTCCAGCTTAAACAGCGCAAGTCAAAACCACCGTCTTTTGCAGAATTGTTGTTGTTGCTAAGAACAGAAGAAGACAGAGAAGCTGCCAAAGCTCAGCGTATGAAACAGCATCTTGGTTCCAGTAAACCCAGGGCTAGTGTACATTTACATCATGCTTGTGCACCAGTTGAAGAACAAAGTGCTTATGATAATTTGACTGTTATCACCAAGCAACTTGCCAAGCAGTTGGCTGATATACAAAAACAATTGGCTGCTCTTACAAGTGTTCAGTCTGGTCAGAACCCGCCCATTTTGCCAAAATCTATGCATGTTGCCAAGTTCAGTCAGTCTCCACAAACTAGTAAAAGTGTGTCTCAACCCTCTCTCAAAAAAGCATCTTCATCACCCAAGCCAGGTTACTGCTACAACTGTGGGGAAGATGGACATATAAAACCTAAGTGTGACAACCCTCCTGATCCTTTACTGGTTGCTGCCAAAAAGAAACAGTTAATGGAAAAGCAGAAGAAGTGGCAGAAAATGAACCCGCATAGTGCCCTGTCGTTAAACTGAATCAGGTTCTCGTTGAGGGGCGAACGGGAACTGCAGAGGACCAGCAAAGTCCCACCAAGCAGACACCTATAAGATGCACTAATTTGTCTCATGTAACTCCTGAGGCTGCAGAATTGCCACAAGGGTTGATTGGCTCAAAATGTACTGGTCAAGTAATAATAGCTGGGGAGCAAGTTCAATGCCTGTTAGATACAGGATCCCAAGTTACTACAATACCAGTTTCATTTTACAATCAGTATTTTTCTCATCAACCTGTGAAACCATTAAGTGAGCTATTACAAGTAGAGGGAGCTGCAGGCCAAGCTGTCCCATACTTAGGGTATATAGAAATGACGGTCATTTTTCCCAAAGAGTTTATTGGCACTGATCTGGATGTTTGTACTCTGGCACTTGTGGTTCCAGATGTTAAAAGTGGAACTCAGTCCCATGTTCTGATAGGAATGAACACTCTTGATTCATTGTATGACAAACATCTGAAAGATGAACGTGTTAGCTTTAGCCCAGCAAAGTATTGCTATAAAGCTGTTCTCAAGCTGCTTCAGTTGCGTCATCAGCAGACCCAAGAACCCAGTGTATGTGACGTAGCATTAGATAGTGAGTCGCCTGCAGTTATTTCAGCAGGCCATACCAGAGTTCTAGAAGGGAATGCCCATACCA